GAAACTGTAACAGACTCACACACCAAGGTCAAGTGGGTGTTTCCAAGGCTAATTCTGCCGTTTGTTTCACCTTAAAGCAGGAAGTTCTCAATAGACAGCACATATTAATCAGAAGCACATTCCTACTACAATCCTCATTCTACAACTTTACCTTGACTCAGTTAAAGGAGGAAATGCATCACAGAAGGAAAAACCTAAATATCATAGACAAAAAAACCTTAAAGATTCCTGCTACAACCATGGGCTTAACAACCCTAGATTAGTCTAAAAGCATGTTTTGCAATGTTAGTACAGACATTCATGAGCTCATCCGGCCATATGGTCAATGGTGGTGGCGAGACAGTATGAACTGTTAAAGGCCCTTTTGTCAAGAATTATCAGCAACATCAACTCCCAAGCTCACATTGGTCGTAAAAACCAACTCTGCAGAGGCAAAAAATCATGCCTCAATAGATGACAGAATTCTTAGTGGGGTGGCCAGGTGTCCACGGAACGGGGGGGACGGGGAGAGAGGTGGATGAAACTGCTTTGAGGTAGTTGGAGAGGAAGGGGCCGGCCTGGTAGCGGGATTCTGCAGTGAGATAGAAATAATCCGGACGTTCACTAATTGGTGAATGGATAAACAAGATGTGGTGAGTCCAAACAATGGAAAGTTACCCATATAAACAACATGTTTATTCCTAATACAACATGGAGGTGCCCTGAAGCCAGGCTGTGTGGAAGAAGCCGTTTACAGAATGCCAGCTATGGTGTGGTTCAGTTTATGCAACAGGTCTAGAATAAGCAAAAAGAAAATAGATTCTATGTACCAGGCCTGAGTAACAGGGCATGAGGAGAGTGATAACTAATGGAGATGGGGTTTCTTTTAGGAGTGATGAATATCTTCTAAAACAAATGGTGAGGGTTGCCCAGCTCTGAATATGTTAAAACCATTGAATTATGTACCTTTCATAGGTGAGTTGTGTCATCAGTCAATTGCATTTCAGTAAAGCTGTCTTTAAAAAAAAAATCCACTATCACTTTGAAGGTAGGGAACTCGCAAGTTGGCTTTGTGTGGCTGGTGAAGAGAAAGAATGGCAAGGATTAAGCTGGAAGTCAAGCAGCCTTTCCCCATGAGGAAGCACTGTCCTGGCCAGGAGCAGGCTGTTCACTGGCAGCGCAGAGTGGCCGCATCATGGATGAGCAGTGTTGATGTGGCATTGGCAAGCCTGTTAAAGAACAATGAGAGAGCCCAGCCAAGAGAGCAGAGGCTGAACTACTTGAAAGCTATCGGAAAAGCACTGGATGATAGAGATGGTGGAAGAAAGGAGAAAAGGATGACACCCCAGATTATAGTTTACAGAGGGGATGCATTAGTGCTGCTCCCAGTGGAGCTACAGAGGACAGAAACAGGTTCAGCAGAGCAACAAAAAAATCAAACTTCTGAAAGCCTTATACCCAGTGGCCTGAGCTGAATTCTGTGCGGTATGGAAGCTCTACCTTCTTAATGAACACTGGGGAAGGTGTGTCCTAACCGTGGCTGCTCTGTGTATCATCTGTGCAGTAGATTTCTTTACATTGTAAAAAAAAAAAAAATTGTACATCACTTGGGTCACTTAATGACTTTGACCTGAGTCATTTATATTGTTTCATCTCCTTTCCTTTGGAGGGGATTTATGTAGTGAGCTCCACCCTTCCTCCCTCCCACCAAAAACAGCTAAGTGGCAATCAAGAGACAAGGGATTATGAAATTGTTCAGTCCTTTCAAGTACTAGAGCGGTTGTTTTTAGCTTTGCTGTTGGGAATGGAATTGTTTTTAGAAATGAACTTGTTATGGGGTGCAGCCAGTGAGAGCCAGCACCCATTGACAGTGGGCAAATGAAATTTGGCTGTGTTCTCTACCCTCTGTCCTGAAGGTGGGTCCTAACAGTAATGGAATGTTAATTCCATCCTCAGCCATCCCCCTACATCCTATATTTGCCAGGATATTGGCAGTCCAATTAGTCTAGGTGTTTTTAGCTACAAGCCCAGTTCCTGTTCCCATCCCAATGAGCACTATCAACCCCTTAGCCCACAACACTTAGGTATTCGCTCCTGCTCACCTGTGACTCACCTATCAACTGAGAGGGGACACTATTGCATTGTTGTGTAACCACTCCCCTCACAAGCCCCTTTAAAAGACCTGGGAAGCAGGGGCTCTCACTCTCTTTCTGGTCAGGTGCTTCCATTATTCTGGCACCTTGACTCAGCTGACCCAGGACAGGTAATCCCCTGAGCATGGTCCCTGTGCACTGCTTAGTTGGGACAATGGATATAGTAATGTTGTTTCTGGTTTATATGCTGTCAAGAGTTCCAGGAGAGGTGAGGCCTAGCAGTGATGGAATGTGGGCAGAGAAGCCAGAGAAAGGTGAATGTCTACAGTTTTGTAAGTGTGTCCAGGTTCTTTGTGAGTGTGTCCAGGTTATTTGTTGCATGTCTCTTAGGATAACTTATATTGTTGGAAAAGCTGGGACATAGGTCTTCAGCTTAACAGATGGACTTGAGGGAAATGACCATTTGTTCCCCTTGGGGTTATGTTTGGTTGGATTATGTTTGGTTGGACTGCCATATGAACTTGTGATTTGCTATTGTGCTCTATTATCACCAAGCTTGGTTAATAAAGACTCCTTAATAAACCTTAGACATGCCTGGCGTGATCTCGCACGCACCCCGCAACAAACTCTTACATAGTCCGTTGAATACGAGGTGAAAGTGTTCTCTTTTTTTTGTAATTATTTCTATTTTTGATGATTTTTACATAGTTGATTAGGATGATAAGAATTAAGGGCTGGCTACAGGAAGGTGGGTGAGACCATTATTTCCACGTAGTCTTTTTTTCATTCCTGTATCTGGGGGAAGGGATAGACAGCAGAGAAGCCACACCCAGCCTCCCAAAGGCCTCTGCACCCTGAGATGGAGGGGAGCTAACCGACACCACCCCAGGATCCCGAGTGTGGGGCATGCTCTGAGAGTCCTGCTCATAAGCTTCAATAGTTCAACAGTTCTGAATTGCCTCCCATCTCCCACTCCAAGCACAATGAAATCTCTCCAGAATCTGCTGATTGACATAGTCCACCTTAGAGTCTTCATTTGCCCAGATATTCACTGCCAACACTTGGCTGGAGTAGTTGATCAAGTTGTTCTGTTCTCTGTCCTCTGTTATGATACCAGGTGTCCTCTGCAGGCTCCAGTGTACTACTATATCCTCCATGTGCACCTGGATATGCTGTCCACTGCTCCGTCTAAGCCACTGCGGAGGTTCAGCTCTGACACATGCACTGCACAGTCAGACCTCCACGGTCAGACCATGGAACCTGCAATTCTCTCCATGGTTGGGGTTCTGAGATCCCCAAAGAAACTTCATATGAGGTATCCCAGACCTGATTCTTGTGTGTGCTTGCCAATACAGGGTCTGGCACGGGCAGTTGCCTAAATCAGCCTTGGTGCACACTGTTAGTTGCAATTGCTGGATCAGTTGTCTCCAGCCCTGTCTTCTATGCAAATTAGTGGGTGTTGCAATTCAGCCCATTTCTGCCCACCACACACTCGGCCGTCATGCAAACCAGTGGGAGCTACAGCCAGTCGAAGCAACCCACAATAACCCCTACCAGGCCTGCCCCATGCTCTGGTTCCCATGCTTGCCAGTGTGTCCAGCAGACTGGTCCAGTCTGTCCCACATCCCATTTGGCTCTCATACATGTCAATGGTAATTGAAGTCTAGTTCAACCCAACCAGCCCCACTATCCAGCCCATACATTTGCCAGCAGGTGCCACTCTGTCTAGCCATGCCTGCACCTCCCTCTTGGGTTGCCACTTCAACTGGTGAGCATGAAAGTATTCTTTCTGTGCCCAAGTTCTTGGAAAGCTGGTTCTTGTTGACTGCTGGGTGAAGGTGCTTAGTGGGGTAGGTGTGGACTCTGGGGGGATCTGGAACTGATCAGTGTTGGGAGGGATGCCGGAAATAGGAGTATGTAATGAAGACCACACTTACAGGTGCAGGGCCTTGAAGAGCTCTTGGTGTTAGCCTCATTAGCTGCAGGGCTCACCTTCTGATCTTGGTGGTGATGAAGTTGGGGATGAGAATGAACATTCTGAGCCCTAGTTGTCAGATACCAGTCCAGGCATTTTCCTGTATTAGTTCTGGGAAATGCACACACACACACACACACACACACACACACACACACACACACACACACACACACACACAGTACCTGGGATACTGAGAAGCTAAGTCCACACACACACACACACACACACACACACACACACACACACACACACACACACACACAGTACCTGGGATACTGAGAAGCTAAGTCCAAAAGCCTGGGGGATTGGAGTTGTGAGGGGACAGTGGGAGGCAGACTGAGAACAATGAAGCAAGAGGCTTCCATCAACCCCAGCTTTGCCATTTGTCCATGGGGAAACGACGGAGAAGAATTACATAACCTTGTGTGCATCAGTTTTTGAATTTTTAGAATTCATTTATTTGAAAGGTAAAGTGACAGAAGAGAGAAGGGGAGCATGGGAAAGGGAAAGGAGGAAAAGAGATTCCATCCCCTGGTGTACCAACCAAAAGAATGCATGGCAGAAGCTGGGTCAGGCTGAAGCCTGGAACCTGGAGCTCTGTCTGGGTCTCCCACACGAATAGCAAGTGCCTGGACCTGCGACTTGAACTGGCACTCTGATACGGGATGCTGCTATCGTAATTTGCAGTTTAACCCACTACGCCACAGCCTTCGTATCCTTGCATGCACATGATTGATTTCACCTTTAAAATAGACATCTTTGTGCTTGCCATGAACCGTTGGTTCTGCTGAAGAGAAATTGTGTGAGTGCTCTGTGAAGGAATGTTGTGTGGTATTCAACAGCTTTCTGTTGCTCCTGAACATCATGGGCAAGGCTTGAACTTGTACTTTATAAATGTTTTATTACACTTCTAAGGTTTTTAATTTGGGGGGGGATGATTTTTTTTCCAGGTCACTTGTCTGCAAGATTTTTTTGGTGATGATGACGTATTTATTGCATGTGGACCTGAAAAATTCCGTTACGCACAAGATGACTTTGTCCTGGACCACAGTGGTAAGGCAGCTCATTGACCAAAGCTTGGGATTTCGTCCAGTGGTACATGTTTACATGACAGAGTTTGGAAGGAAGATGCATTGGTAGTAGTCTTTGTTGTTTGTCTGTTTTACAACTCTGCATCCTGAATCACTCCTCCCATGCCCACTTGAAGCCCTCTTTTTGTTATTTTGTGATTTATAACATGGCTGTGCTTTAATAATTATTTGTATTTGAGAGAGAATGGTTCCATCACTAGCTTATCCTTCAATGTCCACGGTGGCCCAGTTGGACCAAGGTGAAGCCATTGGAAACACAGCCCAGGTCTCCCGTGTGATGGGCATGAACCCAACTACCTGAGCCATCAACTGCAGCTTCCCAGGGGGACACGCTAACAGGAAGTTGGAATGGGACTTGAACCCAAGCACTGTGATATGGATTGCAGGTGCTCCAGTTGGCTTCTTAACTACCAGGCCAAACGGCTGCCCATAAGATACTCTTTTGGAAATACTGAAAATACAGAATAAAATGAAAGCTATCCTAGTTGTTAGGAAGAAAGAGGGACAGGGAGAAGCCCAACACCTAATTCAGATTATTCCATTTTTAGCAGTTTAGTTCCATCTGTTCTTACTGTATTGCTTGCCTCTGAAATGGATTTCCTGTGCGCATTCAGAGTGGTGACTGAATCTGCCACCTTAAACGCATGAGTGGTGCTGGGCATCCAACAGATAAATGTTAGAAGTGTAATAGCTACACGCTCTTACGAGTATCTCAGCTTTGATGTTGTTTTGTAACTTTTTAATGACACACATTTTTAATCTATTTTGAAAAAGTATTTCAATGATAGTTTTTTAAATAATTATCTATTTTTATTGGAAAGTCAGATATAGAGAGGAGGAGAGACAGAGAGGAAGGTCTTCCATCTGATGACTCACTCTCTAAGTGGCTACAATGGTCAGAGCTGAGCCGATCTGAAGCCAGGAGCCTCTTCCAGGTCTCCCACACGGGTGCAGGGTCCCAAGGCTTTGGGCCGTGCTCGACTGCCTTCTCAGGCCACAGGCAGGGAGTTAGATGGGAAGTGGGGCCGCCAGGATTAGAACTGGCACCCATAAGGGATCCCGGCGCATTCAAGACAAGGACTTTAACCACTAGGCTACTGAATCTGGCCCCAAATGTATGTTTTAAAACTTCTTTTCCTGAATTTGGGAAGAAATTGGAGTTTTCAACTAGCAGTTGGACTGTTTCAGTGAAAGTGAAAAAAAATAGAGAGAAAATTAAAGAAATTTTTCAGATGTGGTTTTAAATATGTTTTTAACTCTGGAATATTGCTTTACCGTACTGTTTTCAGTGACTAAACTTACTTCTCTAGGACTCAGTGCTGTAGCTGATGGTAAGGACACTTCCCTCCTTAGACCAAATGAAAATCATACATCCATCACATTTCACAGAGGAGAGGGAATTTGGCAACATAGTATTAGCAATGTGTTCATATACATATAATAAAATTGGATTTCGAAAAATTACGTGGAATGGGCTTTTGGCCTAGTAATTAAGACACTTGCTAAGGCAGCTGTGTCCAATATCAGTGTACCTGAGTGATGTTCTCCTGAATTTGATTCCAGCTTCTGGTTAATGCAGACTGTCAGAGGCAGCAACTCAGGCTCAAGTAGCTGGAGCTCTCACCACCACCAGGGAGAACTAGATTGAGGCCCCAGCTTTCTCTTGTGGCCTAAGATAGCCCAACTATTGTGGATATTTTTGAATTGAACCAATGGATGGGTACTTTCTGTCTGCCTCTTAAATCTCAGGCCCCACACAATGGCTAAGTGGCTAAATCCTCACCTTGTACACACTCAGATCATGTGTGGGCATTGGTTCATGTCCTGGCTGCTCCACTTCCCAACCAGCTCCCTACTTGTAGCCTGGAGAAGCAATAGGGGATGGCCCAAACCTTGGGCCCTTGCATCTGTGTGGGAGACCCAGAAGAAGCTCATGGCTCTTGGCTTCGGATTAGCTCAGCTCTGGCCATTGCAGCTCAAACTTCTTAAAGCAGAAAATGCATATTATAAAAAAGCGATGCATGGATTTCAGATCTTTTTGCTTCAAAATAAACATCCTTTTATCCATTTTTCCACAAACGTTTTAATGCACATACTGTGTATTATTATGCCATGTATTTTGAAATTAAATGGTTCTAACTTACTGAAATGATAACAGTAATAAAACACAATGGTTCAGATGTCTAAGGACATCCCTGGTGTGTAGAGGTGGAACACTTTAGAGTTCATTTAAGTTCCAACTTTTAATTCCAGCTTCCTGCTTGTGTTCACTCCGAGAAGCAGTAGGCAAGAGCTGAAATGCATGGATCCCTGCTGCCAGTGTAGGAGGACATCAGGTTTCAGGCTCCTGGTTTAAATTTGGCCCTGCCCCAGATACTGGAGATATTTGTGAGTGAAGCAGTGAATGGGAGATCTGTCTGTCTCTGCTGTTCCAACAAATGAAAAATTTTAAATAAATTATACATTTATTTAGCACTTACTATGTGTGCCCAAGCATTGTACTCATTGCTTTAAGATGTGTATGTTATCACTTTATCAATTATGGTTTTTTGTTTTGTTTTGTAATGATTGGCTCGGATAGAGATAGGGATATTCGTTTTTTCCCACTTATTTCTGATTTTAATTAACCTCCTGCAAAGTGGGGCTGATAATTGTTTGGAATTTTTGCCTTTTAACCTAAAAGGCATGAACTGGAAACCAAGACCTAGGGGAAACACTATGTAAAATGGCCCAGAGTCCAAAGTGGCGGGGGTCTTATCAGTCTTGGGAGGATATTCGAGTTGCTCCTCACAACCACTGTTTCATGAGGTTTAATGTGAGTTAATATGCCTTGTGGTTAGAAGGGTGCCCACCACATAGTAATATGTGTCTTCTCCTGATGTTTTGTTGTTCTTACTACACCGCTACTGTTATGTGGTGAAAGCCAAGTCATGGACCTCATTCCATCCCAGGGTTTACGCACCAGGAGCCAAAGATTGAAAAAAAAAATCTGTAATGTTGATTACATCCCAATTCTGTGCCCTTTAGGCTTTTGAGAACATCATGCATTAGCAATCCATTTAAATGTCCTAGAACTCAACTGGCCTAATTTCAGTGAAGTAACAAAACCAAGAGCTAGATGTGGGCCAGGCATCCATCCTGACTCCTGGCAGACTGGGTGGGGTGGGGTGGGGGTGAAGAATAGTCTCTCTTTAGTTTTAGGGTATTAGCTGTGTTTACATCTCATAAAACAGAGGTCTGAGGCCATGCCTTTAAAATGCATCCAACCTTCCCACACAGCACACCTTTCAACAATGGAACACCTTTAGCATCCATAATGCTAATTAAGTCAGCCAACTTTGATTACTATTCCAAAATGCTAACCAACCTCCCCTGGTGTGTATTTTCCTGATTAGTGTATTTCACATGTTAATTTACTGCTTCTGGGATACAGATGAAAAGTAACTCACCTTTCAATCTTCCTGCATAAATTGCAGTATTTGAAAGTAAATTACAGACAATATGTTATCTAATTTAGCCCTGATAATGAGTTGGTGTACATATTTTATTTGCATCCCAGTTTCTTAAGGTAAAAAAAAACCCTGAAGTTTAGGATCTCACCCAAGTCCTCCAGTTAAAAAATGTCAAAACCATGATTCAACCATAAATCTGAACAGCTTCAAAGCCATGTTCTTAATTATTCAAATGAGATTAGCTGCACTTGTTTTGGTTCTCTAAACAGTGTTTTATTTGGTGGTTCATGGAAGACCGAAAGTATTGTTTAAAGCTAGTTTGCCTTTTTTTTTTTTAAGATTTATTTATTTTTATTTGAAATGCAGATTTACAGAGAGAAGGAGAGACAGAGAAAGATCTCTCATCTGCTGATTCACATCCTCAAATGGCTGCAACAGCTGAAGCTGAGCCATTCTGAAGCCAGGAACCTGGAGATTCTTCTGGGTTTCCCATATGGGTGCAGGGGCCCAAGGATCTGAACCATCCTCTACTGCCTTTCTAGTCCATAGCTGGATGGGTAGTGAACAGCAAAGACTAAAATGGTACCAAATGGGATGCTGGCGCTGCAGGTGGAGAATTAGTCTCTTGAGCCACTGTGCCAGCCCCTCCTTATTTTGATGTAAAATACTTTGGGAAGGTAAGAAATAAAGCATTAATGGGTTCCTAAGGCACAGTCCCAGTCCCTTCCCAAATTAGGCAATTAAGTAATTAAGGAGTGTTATTTAAAAAGGGTTAGAGTTCTAGTTCATAGTACAATTACCATATTATTATGCGCAGCTAATTCTCCCAAGCTGGTTCTTTACAAGGGGAAGGGGAAGGGAGGCCGGAAGAAGAGAGAAATGCCGCACCTCGGGGCCTTTTTGTCTGTAAGGTGTGGGGGCGGGGATTGGGAGGGATTGAGGGCAGGCCCCAGGGGATTGGTGCCTGCAGGTGAATGCCTGGGGATGATTGGTGAGTGGGTGGGGTTGGGAAAGGGGCTGGAAGATTGGGGGTGGGATGCTCAGGTGGAATGCCAGGTTACATCTGATTGGTGGATGGCTGGACTGGCGTGAATTTCGTGAGCTGTGAGGAAGAAGAAATGGCGCTGGGTCCAGGGTGGGATATTCCAATAACTCCTTAAAAGGAGTAATTATGGAGCAAAGCTCCATAGATTCTTTCCTTGACTTAGTATAGAAATAAAAAACAAGAATCAGTTGCAGACAGAAAAGTTCTGTTTGCGAGGTGAACATGACAGGAGAAGGAAGGGGAGAGCACCTATTGGGAAAGATCTGGGAGATGGTGTGCCTCTTGAAAGGGGAGAGGGAGAGACACCAGGATTTCAGGAAGTGTCTTGGGTGTAGGAAGGGGTTGTTTTTGTTTTTAACATTTATTTTATTAGAAGGACAGATTTATAGAAAGAAAGACAAAGATCTTCTATCCATTGTTTCACTTCCCAAGTGGGTGCAATGGCCAGAGCTGAGCTGGTCGGAAGTGAGGAACATCTTCCGGGTCTCCCACATGGGTGTGCAGCATCCCTGTCTTGGGATTTAAAGATTCCCTGACTCCTCTTGGGGCAAGAATGGGCAAAAGACCTTTCCCAATTGCTGGTCTCCCAACCAAGCAGGAAATAGCTGGGCAGTTCCTGTGCTGTCCACTTGAAAGTGTGGTTTCCTGGCCACCGGGTGAGGGATAAACAGACACCAAGGTATCTGGCTTCTTGGGATTTAAATGTGATATATCCTGTTTACCAGTACTCGGCAGTATATGCTGACATGGCACTGAGCTGGTGGCCCAGGGAGAATTGGCACTGGACTTCACACAAGGTTTTGGTGGCCTTGAACGGTCTCAGAGAGGACAGTGAAATTGTAGTCTTTGTTTTTTCTTTATTGGAAAGGCAGATTTACAGAGCAAAGGAAAGATGGAAAGATCTTGAGTCTGCTGGTTCACTCCCCAAGTGACTGAAATGGCCAGAGCTGAGCTGGTCTGAAGCCAGGAGCCAGAAGCTGCTTCTCAGTCTCCCATGTGGGTGCAGGGTCCCAAAGCTTTGGGCCGTCCTCTGCTGCTTTCCCAGGCCACAAGCAGAGAGCTGGATGGAAAGCAGAGCATCCAGGACGTGGACTAGTGCCCACATGGGATACTGGCACATGCAGGGTAAGAATTTAGCCACTGGGCTCTTGCACTGGACCGGGAAATGTAGTCTTTACCTGTCAGTGCTAACAGAAGGGGGCAGACATTTGGCCTAGGGATTAAAAGTGCTGAATTCCATATTGGAGTGCCTGAGTTCTGTAACCAGGACCCAGGTCCCCGGACATAGCAGTGATGTCTGAAGTGTTCGCTTTCTGCGACCCATGTGGGACATTGGGATTGAGTCCCTGGCTCCATGCCCATGCCAGCATTTGAGGGGTGAACCACTGCGTGGGAAATGTTTCTCCTCTGCCTCTGAAATGATGTATTTTTTTTTTTTAAATGTTAACCAAAGATAACCTCAGATGTGCTTTTGGAATGGTTACAAATGATCAGGTAATGGTTCTGTGTGGTATACTGCACTCATGTGTAGTCTATGTTATTCCAGATGTATTAAACAGACTTCATTTTTGTCCTAGAATGTCGGGTCCTGAAGTCATCTTACTCACGATCCTCAGCTGCTAAGTACTCTGGATCCAAGAGCCCTGGGCCCTCACGTCGCAGCAAATCTCCAGCTTCAGGTAGTTGGTGGGAAAGTGGGGAAGGCTCTGAGGGGAACTGCTCTCTTTCTTTCTTCCTTATGAGCCACAGGCTGTTTACGCCAGATGCCAGGACAACTCCTGCTTGCCAAAGTTAGACTAGTTGTTCTGACATGTTAGCTAGTGTCTTCTGGTATTTACACAGATGTGGTTCATAATTTGATAACAACTGCACTTTTAATTATGTCAACTTCTTTCAGTCCCCTTTTTTCTACACATACACATGCAAACATACATACACACAGAGAAATATGTTGATAAATTTACACTGGCCTTCCATTCATTGGACAGTATGATAATGGCACTGATTGTAGTTGGAAAGTAGCACTTTGTTTAGGGGTAAGGCCTACCTATAAGTTATATAGATTTGTCCTATTTTTGCCTGTTGAGATATCGTTTTAAAAAGTTTTCAGTATCTATAAATATCTATAAATATTGACTGTGGATTTGTTTATAGTAATTTAGTTTTGCTGACACTATTTCCCACTAAGGGAAGAATTGCAAACCACTGTGGTTTTGCACATGGAAACCCTGGGACGTGGGAACATGGTATCAGCAAACACCATCTTGAGCATCAGACCTTGCACACGAGGTTTGTGAACACAGCCTGCTCCCGCTGAGCATGTCTACGACAGGTGTTTTCACCCCTTCTTCTCACGTCCACACGTCAACCTGCTGAGTAACCTCTGTCTTCCTGTCTCCCCCCTCTGTACACTCTGCATATGCGCAGTAAAGAGGGCTGGCCACTACTCCAGTGCCTATTCTGCAGCCAAGTCCCCAGGTGAGCCATGCTTTGTATGGCTTTGTCGCTCTGCTGGGCTTTTGTTCGTGTCTTCTGCCACATTTCTGTTTCCTGTTGCTCTGTTTCTGTGGCTGTTTCTGGCTTGTTCCTGTGTATGTCTGTCCAGTACAAAATGCTTCCTGATGAGCAGCATGCTTCCAGCGTTTTTGTCAATGAGAGAACCAACTACTGTCAGAAGATGGCCAAGGGCCAATCTGTGTGTAGTCAGGAGGCCTCTTGTCTCAAGGGTCTGTCTCCCAGGTAGTTGGGGAAGATTTCTGAAACTAAAAAAGGCTCATGGTTTGAAAGTTGTATTCTTCTGCCCTCACTGCCCTCGTCCCTGAGGTTAAGTGCTTAGGAACCGAAGTTTTAACATTCAGAATACTTTATTATAACCAATGCAGGGTACAGTTCTGAGATAAGGAGACAATACTACTCCTTTTTCCCGTTGTCCAACAGTTATTGTCGTAACATGACTTGACGTGACATACTCAAAAAATGACAGTTGAAAATATGAGTGTTTTTTAAAGATTTATTTATTTTTATTGGAAGTTAGATATGCAGAGAGGATAAGAGACAGAGAGGAAGATCTTCCATCCTCTGATTCACTCCCTAAGTGACCACAACTGCTGGAGTTGAGCCGGTCTGAAACCAGGAGTCAGGAACTTCTTTCCAGCTCTCCCCACACAAGTACAGGGTCCCAAGGCTTTGGGCCATCCTACATTGCTTTCTCAGGCCACAAGCAGGGAGCTAGCTGTATGGGAAATGGGGCTACCAAGACATGAACTAGTGCCCATATGGGATCCTGGTATGTGCTAGACGAAGACTTTAGCCACTGGGCTACTGTGCCAGGCCCAATATGAGTATTTTAAGCAAAAATATCTCTGTCATCAACCTCATTTTAAACTGTGCTATTAACTTTATCTCAAAACTGGGAAAGCTGGTATCATATGAAATTGTCAATAGTGCATGGTCTGGGCTTACGTGACAGATAGATGTAAGTTTTATAGGATCCTAGCTTTTGTTTTAGATGATATATTCATTTATATATTTTAAAGATTTATTTATTTTATTGGAAAGACAGATATACAGAGAGGAGGAGAGACAGAGAGGAAGATCTTCCGTCCAGTGATTCACTCCCTAAATGACTAACAGCCAGTGCTGCGCCGATCTGAAGCCAGGAGCTAGGAAGCTTCTCCAGGTCTCCCATGTGGGTGCAGGGTCCCAAGGCCTTGGGCCGTCCTTGACAAATTTCCCCGGCCACAAGCAGGGAGCTCAGTGGCAAGCGGGGCTGCTGGGATTAGAGCCAGCGCGCATTTGGGATCCCAGCGCATTCAAGGTGAGGACTTTAGCCGCCAGGCCCTAGGTGGTATATTTATAAATATCCCATCACCAAAATAATTAGACACAAATAGGGAGCATGGTTTGAAAATCAACTTATGATGACTTCAGCTCTGTCTACCTCTCCATCTCTGCCCTGGATCCAAGAGGAAAGTTTACATACTGAATTTACAGTCACATTTGCCCTGCAGAGCAACTGTTCCATGAAGTAGGCCAGAAACTGTATCAGTCATCCTAATTATTATTTGAAGACTGACTTTTATCTTATTTGAAAGGTACATATGCAGAGAGAAGGAGCAATGCAGTCTTCCATCTGCTAATGAGCTAATCTAAAGCCAGGAGCCAGGACTTTTCTGGGTTTCCCACATGGGTGCAGGAGTCCTAGGGCTTGAGCCCCCTGTTTTCCCAGGCCGTAAGCAGCAAAGCTGGATCAGAAGTGGAGCAGCTGAGAGTAGAACTGGTGCCTCTAAGAGATGCTGGCACTGCAAGGCAGAAGATTAGGCTGTTGAATCACTGTGCCAGCCCTAAAAAGTCATTCTTTTATTGGGATCCTTAGAACCTGATCAAGGAAATTCAAAACATTCAAGTTTGCAAAATGTTCAGTTAGGTCTATATTTGAGTTAATAGACCTCACAGCCTCATCAAAATTGCAAAACACTGAAAATCACATTTCAGAATGCAAATGCTCTTCCTTAACAGCAGTCAAGGGCTCCGTGGGCTATAGTTCCAGCTGTGGTTTGAATGTGGTTGTGCAGACAGCTGCCATTTTCCTCTAGGGGGCGTCTTCTCTCCACTTCCCCTGACAGGAGAGTTTTGTGTTTGTGAAAGTCTCAGCACCTAGGAGTATTACTTGGCTGCAAAAGCTGCTTTAGTACCTGTTCCCACTTTAAATGCTTCTTGGGACTAATTAGAAGTTCAAACAGAGCTGTTAATTTGGTAGCGTAATATTGTCTTTTTTTTTTTTCAATCAGGGGATACAGGTAGGGCTTTGAGTGATCAACTAAAGCCTTGAACAAAACCCAACCAAAAGAGCTAAAGAGAATGTCACATACACACAGAGATAATAATCTGGATAATGTGTGTCTTTTCAGAAAACCCTTGGGCCGGTAAATTATCTCATATGGGCACCATTTCAAGTCCCAGCTGCTCTATTTCTGATCCAGCTCCCTGCTAATGTGCCTAGGAAAGCAGTGGAAGATGGCACAAGTGCTCAGGCCCCAGCATTCGTGTGGGAGACCCAGAAGAGGTTATAGGCCCCTAGCTTCAGCATGGTCCAGCCCAATCCATTGTGACCATCTGAGCAGTGAAGCAACAGACAAAAGGTCTCTGTCTTTCCCTCTTTCCTGTAACTCTTTCAAGTAATAATTAAAAAATATATTTAAAACAATTCTTAGGTTTTGTTGATTTTTTTAAAAGAGAGTTTGAAATTTTTACTTTAGAGGAAGAGAGGCAGAACTCATCGCTGTTAGTGCACTCCTCAGTTGCTTGCACAAAGCTGGGAACCAGAAACTCAGGTCTTTCAAATGGGTGTTAGAAACCCGACTACCTTAGCTATCACCTGCTTCCTTTCAAGGATCAGGAACGGGCCTTGGACTTGAACTCTCCAGGTACAATGATATGGGGTGTGGCTGTCCCAGTCAGCTGCTTAACCACTGAATTAAATGCCAGCCCTGCCCTTTCTAGCTTGTAAACCTTTTGTAGTCCTCCAAAATAAAATATTTAGAACAAACATGTTAGAAAGCACTCAAGTGTAGCTCTTACCTGAGTATGATGGGTGGACCTAAAAAATTTGGAAGAGGAAAGACAGTGTGTAGTGTAATGGTGTTGGCGTATTCTGCCAGCCCGCGAGGCAGCCACAGTGAGGGGTGGCAGCTCCCTGTGGCACTGGCCAGGTTCCTGTTTAGCCTCCCTTGATCTCAGAAGGAATATACAAATAAATGACAAATAGAGAACACTTTCCCAAGACTGTTGTGAGCTTGGAGGGCTATGTGGGATCACAGGTTTTTTGGGGAACATGTGGGCACATGATCGACACCAGTTAAATCCCTGACAGTGAGTTTTATTCGGAAACCCTGCTTGAGCAGGGAGTGAGTGGGAGGAGATGAGTCTTTCCTGGAGCCTTCCAGCTGCAAAAGCTGATCTTTCTTCTCTGTTCCCTTCTCCAGCATGGTTTTCAGGCAGCCTTTGCGCTCAGCGAGGTAGCTGACTGCAGTGACTGCTAACAGGACTTAGTTTTGTAAGATTTATGTTTTGGAAGAATTCCAGAGACAAGAGAGACAGAGAAAAATCCTCCTTCCATTGGCTCACTCCCCTAAGTGGCCAAGCTGGACCTGGCCGAAGCCGAGTGGGTTACTTCATTTGGAGACATGCATGGCAGGCACCCAAGAACCTGGCCCAAATTCTGCTGTTCTCTAGTGACTTGCCCAGGGCACTGTGAGGGAGGGAGAGGAGAATGCATAGTTCAGTCTCAACTCACACCAAGCTTACCAGGTTATCACTCACAGTAATCTCCACATGCTGTGGATCTCCTTTAGGTAGTTTTGAAAGACTCTGCATCCCCCACTCCCCACACCGAGCAGTTTCAGATACACATTGAAATTAAACAGAAGGGACAGATTTGCCATGGACCCCTGACTCCTGAACCCCCACCGTCTCTTCCGCCGTCAGCATCTCCCACAGTGTGGTTCACACTGGGGAGACTGAGAAAGCTGCACTGATGCTCTGTCACCATCCACACTTGGTGTCGCATGACTTTGGGCAATTTTAAAGTGCACATTGGACCTCATCTCCCAAGATGGTATGTGAATAATTTCCCTAATGCAAAAAAATCTCTGCACTCCACCTTTTAAAGAAATGAATAATAAAAATAGTTAAAATTTAAATGAGTTGGAAATAACCCAGGCTTTTATATAATCTGAGATGCTTTATAAAGCTGTACAATTACTTTTTGTGGGACTTGTATTCTGAATACCCCCAAACATTTGTTAGGAAAAATCTGATAACCAACCCTTGAATGAGTGGTTTAGAAAAATTAAAGTTTAGAAATTGAAAAATTACTGAAACAACTTTCAATCCCTGCCAGTTGTTTTAAAATATTTCCCATGTGCCGCCACTCAAAAACTGAAACTCAAATTTCTTTAGCCAAAGACTTTTATTTGTCTATTTGGCTTTGTGTCTTACTAATGTGTGTTACAGTCATAATTATTGGATTGCTCCCTTACGATTATGAAAAAGGAGGGGGAAGGGAGAAGGGTCAGGTACCATCATTTTGGTATAGTGGGTAAAGCCGCTGCTTGCAACATCAACATCCTATGAGTGCTGATTGGAGTCACAGCTGCTCCACGTCCAATCCAGCTCCCTGCTAATGCACCTGTGGAAGCAGCAGAACATGGCCTATGTCCCTGGGTCCCTGCCACCCATGTGGGAGATCTGGAAGAAGCTCCTGACTCCAGTCAAGTCCAATCCTGGTGGGGAGTCCAGCCATGTGGGGAGTGAGCCAGAGGAAGAAAGAGCTGTCCCCTTCTCTTCCTTTCTCTCTCTCTGTAACTCTGCCTTTCAAATAAATAAGACAGTCTTTTAAATAAAACGTGCTAATTTTGCTTTTCTTTCCACAAAAATACTGATTTTTATTTGGGTAAAAGTTTTGAGGGTTGATGCAAGCAATGAAAGGGATAATAAATACATTTTCTGGGCCCAGCGTGATAGCATAGTGGCTAAGTTCCTCACCTTGAACGTGCTGGGATCCCATATGGATGCCGGTTCTAATCTCATCAGCTCTGCTTCCCATCCAGCTCCCTGCTTGTGCTCTGGGAAAGCAGTCGAGGACGGCCCAAAGCCTTGGGACCCTGCATCCGTGTGGGAAACCTGGAAAAAGCTCCTGGCTTCGGACTGGCTCAGCTCTGGCCATTGCGGCCACCTGGGGAGTGAACCATCTAATGGAAGATCTTCCTCTTTGTCTCTCCTCGTCTCTGTATATCTGACTTTCTAATAAATAAATAAAGTGGAACATTAAAATAAAATAAATGAATAAAATAAAATTGTTTTGCAGGATAGAAACAGCGTTCCAGTACCTTTGTGCACCTTTGTGCACCTTTGTGCAGCAGTGATTGCGGGAGCGGAGTCAGTTGATAAAGAGTGAATGTGAGTCCCGGTGACGGGGCTGACCAGTTAGTTTATGATGCAGAGGCTCCAAATGGACCTTTGCCTCTGTAAACAGCAGTGACTATTCTCTTCCTAGCACAGGATCCAAAATGAGCTTCCAGCCAAGGAAGCGTATGAAGGGCAAATGGAGGACTACCAGCATCTCCTAATGAACAAAAACTAAACTGTGAAGAAATTGGAAGGATTAGGAATAATTTGTCTAAAGGGAAACTTAAAGGATACCATCAATGGCCCTTGGAAAAATGTGAGGATATTACAAGGGAACCTTGTGACCCACAAGGTGTTCCATGTATATCTGCTCGAAGAGCTGATGGTATGTGAGGTGAATGAGCAAGTGGAGTCGTTTTGGCACTGGAAGACCCCTGCTGGCCAATTCGAATATTGCCATTCACCAACACACTCAGTTCCCCAGGGATCACATACACTTTCAGGCATATGTGCTGCCACAGCCATCATGTTGCATGGTAGCTGAAAATGGCTTGGGCGCTGAACTTCTCTCTGGATGTGGAGTTGGACTGAGGATCTACATTCTTGATTCCAGTCATATTTCCTTTCTGCTAAGAATATGGTTAGGAAGGTGTTTGGATTGTGGTGAATTGAATTGGGAAAGTCATAAGAGCTTCTTGGTGGCTTGGCTTGCTCTTCAACTGGGTAGTGGCTATTATGGAACAGCCAGAGCAAACCATTATGAGGAGCAGCCACTCCTTTCTTGACCTCAAGTCATTCTTTGATCTTTGCTACCAAGCAGTATACATGGAGCAGTTCATGTTTACATCTCAAATTCCATAATGTTTTACGTATGTGTTTTTATCACTGTTAACAGCTATTATTGAAAATCTAGTTTCACGGCCTGATTTTTTTACATTATGTTTTGTTTTGCTTTGCCTTGCTGATTTGCCATCTGCTGTAAGTGAAGCGAGGCTTCGTCGGAACGGTCCTATGCATGTACTTAGTGCTGATGCGGTCTGGGAGTTTGTGTTATGCCAACTTCTGTCTCCTTTGTTTTCTGATCAGTGAATGGGACTCCCAGCAGCCAACTCTCCACTCCAAAATCCACAAAATCCTCCAGCTCTTCTCCGACCAGCCCAGGAAGTTTCAGGGGGTTAAAGGTAGGACACATGTTCATGTGATTTCGTTAAGAGTGTATCAATTGGCTTTTGTTTAAGAGCTTGAGTACAATAACAAGTTAAAAAGAAAGAGTTTAGAATTTGGAGCCAGGCTCTGAATCCTGTGTCCTTTTGTAATTTTGACCAATTCCTTTAACTCCTCTGTGCTAAGATGTTGTCATCTCTAAAGTTGCTACATGGTTTTGTGGTTAGAGTGACATAATGTGATAAAGGGTAATCAATGTTAGCTTTTCTGTGATCTTAATGATTTATATTGGCAAAGCCTTGGAGGACACTGGGATTCTTTAAAAATCAGATAAAGTCTGAAATAGAATGAAATACTAGTAAAATATTTGCATTCTTAAGTAATAACACAAGACAAATGTGATCTTTTTGGTGATGAACTTAGGATTTAGATATTGACTATGATCTAACAATATCAAGAATAATATTTAATAGGCAGTTAACTGGTAGTTTGAGGTAGAACCAAGTTTGTCAAATTTGGACAAGTCTTATTTGATGTAATGGTTCCAAGTAATTTACTCTTTTCTTAAAAAAAACTTTATTTATTTTTATTGTAAAGTCAAACAGAGAGAGAGGAGGAGAGACAAAAAGGAAGATCTTCTGTCCAATGATTCACTCCCCAAGTGACCACAGTGGCCTAAGCTGAGCCAATCTGAAACCAGGAGTCAGGAGCTTCTAGGTCTCCCATGCAAGTGCAGGGTCCCAAGGCCATGGGCCATGCTCGACTGCTTTCCCAGGACACAACACAGAGCTGGCTGTTAAGCGGTGCTGCTGGGATTAGAACCGGCACCCATATGGAATCCCAGCACGTTCAAGATGAGGACTTTAGCTGCTACGCCACCACAATGGACCTGATTTACTCTTCCAAGAGAAAATTTGCCTAGTAAAATAGTAATAAGAAAGTTCCCTTTGTGAAAACAACCAAACTGGCCATAAGGGAATCTACACTAAAAGTGCTGAAGTATACCTAATGCCATATGTGTGAGTGCAAGAATTAAAGGGTATGGTATGTTTGGTTGACCTTTTATTTGCCATTATTAGGAATGCATTCTCCAAAGCTGGGAGGTGTTCTTAAACAATGTTAGAATGTTGTTCATTGGCAAACTAAGCTCTGAGAGCCTCAGCAGCCTTGCCTGAACAAGGAATGAGGACCTGCCACGCCTGGCCTCCTGATGCCTCTAAAGCAGCACCTCAAGTCTGGTTCCTTCTGCTCCTTAGACAGTTCTGGTGGGATGATGGGCCTCCTGGGGCTGTGTAGTCTGTGCTTCCAAGTGAACATGTGGGAAACTCATTTAAATGCCTGAGAATAAAAATTGTGCGTGTGTGTACATGTGTGTGTGAATGGGGGTTCATATATCCCCACTTATGGTAGAAATAGAGATCTTCCACTTCATTGATTCACTTCTCATTTGCCTGAAACACCAGGGCTAGGCCAGGCTGAATTTGGGAGCCAAGAGCTCAGTCCGTCTCTCCCATGTGCTTGAGCAATCACTTGCTGCCTCCCAAGGTGTGCACTCAAAGGGACCTGGGATGGGAAGTGGATCTGGGACTCCAGCTGGGACATTCTGATATGGGATATTTGAATAACAGCTGTGGTAAGCGCTCACCCCCAATAGTCCATTTTTGTGTCTGTTTGCTTGTGTAACTTCACAGAATGTAGACTGTGGCCAGTAGTATGACACAAAGCTCTCATCTGTCACAAAACACCAGAAATTCTTTATTTTTTAAAGATTTGTTTTATTATTTTTATTGAAAAGTCAGCTCTACAGAGAAGAGGAGAGACAGAGAGGAGGAATCTTCTGTCCATTGATTCACTCCCTAAGTGGCTGCAATGGCTGGAGTTACACCAATCCAAAACTATAAGCCCATAGCCTCTTCCAGGTCCACATGGGTGCAGAATCCCAAGGCTTTGGGCTGTCCTGGATTGCTTCCAGGCCACAAGCAGGGAGCTGGATGGGAAGCAGGGATGCCAGGATTACAACCGGCACCCATATGGGATCCTGGTACATGTAAGGCAAGGACTTTTTAGCTGCTAGGCTACTGTGCTGGTAATCTTTTTTTTTTTTTTTTACTATTATTAAAGATTTATTTTATTATGAAGTTATTTATATTTAACAAAACAAGCTGAAATTTTTCCTGCATTTTAAAAATATTTATTTGACAGAGCCAAGAGATGGGTGGGCTGACTGGGGGGTGGGAATAAGTATCTTTTATCTAATGATTTTCTCCCCAAATAGCCATGTCAACTAGATCCAGGCCAACTTTTCTGGGTTTCCTATGCATCTGGTAGGGGCCGGAGTGCTTGACTGAGCCACCTTCCTCTGCCTTCTCAGTTGCACTAGCTGGTTCACCGGTGGAGCAGATGGCACTCTGATATAGGATGCCAGCCTTCCAAATGGGACCTTAAGGTGCTGCACCACACTAGCCCCTTGGCATTTTTTTTCCATACATTTGCTTATGTCTCTCCATGCTTAATAGGATTTCCATGGATTTCTTAGTTGTCACACATTACCCCCCCACACACCACCAGAAAAAAAATAGTTGAATAAATGAAAAATCACTGTATAAGCTATTTCAGATTTTCTTTTCTAACTCATTTTCCCTATAGTAGGTTGGAACTGTTGTGTTATTGATAAATGCATATAGCTTTCCAGCATTATAGAAGTTAATTGAATCAATTATTTTCAGGTTGTCTCACCATGGGTTAAGGCAAAAGCAATTGACTGACTTCTAGTGCTGGTCTCTGTTGATCTGAGCCAGTCTCTTCATAAGCTGTCCAGTAAACTATTTGAGAAACTCATTCCTGTTTCTCTCCAGGCAGCCCATGTGGTCATCAGGTGGGCACCTTTGTGCCTGCTTGCCCTAGGTCCTGCCAGGTAACATTTCTCTTTCTTGTTACCTGGTAGTAACCTGGGCCCTCTTCTTTTCTTTTAGTCCATTGTTAACTTCAAGCATCAACTTACTCATTTCTCTTAGAGACACCTAGCCAATTAGTGCTGCTTGTTAGTTGAGGCTTTAGCTTCTGGCCTGGACAGTGTCTTGTTTCAAGAACATACATATTAATGCTGTGTGTACACACCTGCTCCTTTATACCTGTACATACACTCACCCAAGAGCACCCACATTGGTGGAATGAAAATTCATTGAATTTGAAAAACTTGACCATGATGTTATATTAGGTGCCATTGTTCATCTACTTTTTGACTTAATTACTTTATGATCGTAGCATACTGTTTGACTAAATTACTTCATGATGTACTTTATGATTAATACTGAGAGCTAAAGATGAGGCATTTTCAGGTAAAGGGAGGTGCTGATGTGTGAGCAAGCATGAGAATGAAAGGCCAAGTCAGATTGAAGAGAGAGAGGTGGGCTCTCCGTGATGGCCCTCCAGCTCCTCTGCCGTGGGCTCTGTGCGTTGCTGCCGGAAGCAGCCTCTAGGTTTTCTTTCTCTCATCTGTTCAGTGAGGATCCTTAGTCTCTGAAATGCCAAGGTATTATTTTTTTGCAAAACCAAACCCAGAGAAGCTGGGGATTCTTTTCTCTCCCTTTGGAGCTGGGCCAGAATCAAAAGAGTACCTCCCTGATGCTGTTCTCTGGCCATAGTGCAGAGTGTCCCTTCCACAAGTCAGGCTTTGTGGCCATCCCACTTGCTGTCATCCCCAGCAGTCTGTGGTATTCATTGCTGCTGGAATAAACACCTGCTTTTCCAACACCACCGCTTGCTCAAGTTATGCTGTAGTACATGTCCTGTGGGTATCAGTGGAAGCTCTCCCCAGCTCCTGTCCACCTTCACGAGAGCTTTCTGTTCAGTGACATGAAAAATAGAGGCTTACAGATAATGACCATGTGTTAGTACTGTTCTCCCCCGTCTGTCTTCCTTTAAAATAGCTTGTTGTAATCAATTAAGAGGGCCTCTCTGATGGTGGAGAACTGCCGTCTGTGGATAGGAACTATTTATCCTCTTTGGATTCTTTAAATGGCTATAGGGATACACCGTCTTTCCACAAAGACTCACAATGGCAGAAATGAGCAAGTCAAGCCGGAGCAGCATTGAAGGCCTTGATGCCATAGCTATGCCTGAATGTAATTTGGGCCATAGATTATTATTATTTTTTTTTACTTGTCTTTATTCACCAGGAAGTAAGCAAGGTTAAATCAAAGGCAAGCAGAATTTGATGTCTGGCACCATTTCCCCTGCTTTGTGCCCATGTCTGGGAATTTGTTTATTTCTTGTTAGGGACACCGAAGGCACTGAAGCTGGGAATCATGTACAGGAAGTTTAATCTCTGATCGCAGATGATGGGCACTGCTGTGGGCACATTTTAAAGATCACAGAAATATGGAGGCAGCCTTTCTCTCTACAGATCACACTTAGCTTTCTTCAGGCTCTCCTCTTGGAGGAAGACAGCTCTGCCCCATGGCACTCAAAGGTCGTGTTCTTTGAGAGTCTACAACAAAGCCTGTAGAGGAGGCAAGGTTTCATTCAGATCAAGTAATGTTTGCAGAATGAAGTAGAAAACCCAGGGCGCTGACTAATAGTAGATTCTTGGAAAACTGAAAGACTTTCGGGTAACTGATAGGTTGTATCTCAGTTAATTATAAATTTTTGGTTTGCCAAATTATTATTTAAAAATTACTCCTGACTTTTGTTCTAGATAGTAAGATCAACTGTATTCAGGGCCGGGGGCATCATGATGGAACAGGGAGTTCTACTCACAGTAGAGATTGGATATCAAAGTCAGCAAAGATATAGTTCTGGATGGTTTAGCAGGTACTCACACAGGAGTCTCCAAGGACAGGGAGGTAAACCCAAGACAGGACTTCTTAAGCTGAGAAATCAGGAGCCCGACCAGAGCTTTGTGAGTTGTACAAAAACCATAGAGAGAATGTGGCAACTTAAAGTCGACTTGGCCCTTGAGGTTCGGGACTGTGAAGTGTCCGTGTCCTCCTGGCTGGGATGCTGATCACTTCACGGTCTGTCTTTAGCACTGTGATTCTGATCTGCCCCGCCCCCATGACATGGTGGGCCTGCTCTGCTGGCTGCAGCACAGGCATGCCAGCAGGAAGTTGGTGGCATTGTTGCGGAAAAGCCCTGCTGTTCATGATGTAGGAAGACCTCCAAGGACTGGTTGGCCTCTGAGTTCCTGGGTTTAGGTTGGCACAGATGCTGTGTATCAGAGAGGATTGAAAGCCTGGGCAAGGAGCAAGGTGGCAGCATTCAAGGTTGGGAAGAAAGAGTGAAAATCCTGGCCCTGTGGAGAGGCTGGAGGTGGAAAGGATGAGCGGATGCCCATTGGCAGCGCTTCCTGGGAACCTTGGGAAGAGCTTGCTGGCAGGTACTGAACACGAAAACTGGAAGTCAGGCTACACTCTGTGCCCAGCAGTTCTACCAAGCACATAAACTTGAATATAATGACAGACATCCATGGTTGGCTGGGGTTGTTGGTTTTCTTTGGAAGCCTGCAGTAGAGCTGAGTGTTACCAGGATTGACATAGGTTGGCCAGGCAACTGTGTGAGTTATGTAGATAAGAGAAATGTCCCCGTGATCAGAATACAGTAGCTGGAATTTGAATGTAGAGCCTGTGCCCATAACTATGCCCTGTCCCCAAGGACACAGTGCGAGAGCAAGCCAGGCTACTGAATGAATTGTTAAAGGCTGGGGCCTCCAAGCCAGTCCTTAGTGGGTGTTCCCCTGGATTTGGATCCTTTAGTATATCAGAGCTTAGCTTTGTTAGCGTTTAGGGGATGTAGCTCTTCTGAAGGGCAGGGCTGCTTTCAGTATGCTTACCTAGCAATGAGGCCTTTGGACAGCTCAGATTTTAGTCTCTTTCCCTACAGTGGCATCCAGCTGCCCAGCTGTCTTTCATGGTCATAAGTATAGGAGGCCAGGTCATGCCATGCTATACTAGACTTGTGGGACAAGGGTGCACAGCTCCTTGGAAATGTTTTTCTTACGTTGTCCTTTGTTAAGGTTTTCTGTGAATGCTCCAACTTGTTCTAGCAAAGGCGATGGACAAGCAAGAGGAGAATTTTGGGGTTGGCATAGGCCAAGATTAAGAGGAAACTGACACCCTCTGCTGTGCAAATACTCAGCCCTGGAGAAGAATGAAGCAGAAGCTTTTTCCAGGTTTCACACGCAGGTTCAGGGCGCCAAGTGCTTGGGCTACACTGCTTTCTTAGACCTTAAGCAAGGAGCTGGATCAGAAACAGAACAGCTAAGATTCGAGCTGGCACCGGTATGAGATGCTGACTGTGCAGGTGGAAGATTAAGATGCAGGGCCGCCACATTGGCCCCTTACCTCATCAGCTTTATTGCTGTGTTGTTCTCCAGAGTCATCTTTCCTTGTCCATGCCTTCTTCTCCTTGACAAATGCAAAAATCCTGCCCTTGCTAGGCTATACTCTTCTGTCCTTGCCCATCTTGCTGATTCTTAATTTTCCCCTTGACCTTGGCCTACAACCCATTTCCCCTGGCTCAGCTCCTCGGAGTCCCTTCGATCCAGCTGGTAACTTCTCCTGCAGGAATATTAGCTGTGCTTCAATCCCAGCATTTTCTTGGGGACAGATGGGTAATAAAGAACACTAAATGTGTCGTCAGCTGCCAGATGGATGGAAAAAGCATCTCCCTGAGCTTTACTTCATCCTGCACGACCCAGCTGAAGACTTCTAAGGCAATAGCAACTCTAGGCTCCCGAGTCCCAGGCACATGTGTGGACACCCCAGGCCGGCACGCTTCTCAGGCTGTGATGCTGCAGCGTCGCCCGGGGCTGTCTGCCAGGAGAGTTGTAGTTGGGTGAGAGAAGAAGGGAGAATACATTTGGAACATTATCCAACATCTTGAGATTATAAACTGTCTGATATGCTGATCTTTTATCTGTGGTGTCTCCTGGGTCTGCTGGTGGTGAAAGATTTCCCAGATTTGTGAAGTGTGATGAAAGCACTGGTCGTATCTCATCCTGACGGGCAGAGCTAAAATGTAGCCCTCTGACCTCCTGAACTTGAAAACGTCTTTTCGAAGCTGTGAAATGTAGATGCACAGTAGCTGCTGACCTTAGATGTTTCTGCTTTTCCCAAGAGCTTCATCTTTTCGTTTATACTTAATACTGGCTAATAATCCCCAGTGCTAAGAGACTGACCGCTCTGCTGCTCGTTCATTACCCCAGCAACGTTGATGAGTGACTTCATCTTGGACTGCACTTGAATTGGTTAGAAAGAAACAGAGGGAAAGACTTGGCAGTTTTAAACGCTGCAGTGCCCTAACAGAATAAATCATCGTGTGGAATCTGAATCCATAGACATTGCTTTTGCACAGTGCAATTGTTCGATGAATCTGGTGTATTTGGGGGCACGTGATTCATTTTGGCAATGCTTCTCTTTGTGTGGGTTTGCCAAGCAAAACAATGTGTATGTTGGGTCAGTTGAAGTTGCATATGTGTTCATAGTAATGCCCCTGCATTCTTAGATCATTGGAAATTCTTCATAGTGTAATAGAGGTGATCAGATGACATTAAGACTTACAGGTTGTTGTAGTGGCTGATTCTGGTAGCCTCTGTAATTGGTACTGAAGAGACAGACAACTCCCGCCCCACCAACACACACACACACACACACACACACACACACACACACACACACACACACAGTTGGGCTTTGGTAAAACTCCACAAAGAAAGCAAGCAGGCGTTGTTAGTAGGTGTACATGGTCACACTATCTCTTGCACACCATCCTTAGTTGAAAGGAGTGTTTGGAGGAGTGTGATGAGGGTCAGTGTTGGTTTTAGCTGAGCAGGCCGTGTGATCTACGGAGGTGGTGGTGACAGGAACAGAGGGTCGCCACTCAGCAGGTTTTAAACAGCTCAGTTAAGCTGCTGCGCTGGTTGATACCTTGAACTCTGTTCACATACAGGCAGTGGGTTCTGTTTGCCACAGGTCTCCAGCCCCACAGCTCAAGGTATGACTGCCAGTAAGAGGAATTCACATGTTACCAGCCCCCCAGATGCCATCTCTGTTTTTGCATATTATTTTTCATTCTGAAATATTGCAGAGTATTTCAAATGATCAGAAATAGAAATTAAACTTATAAAGCTTTTTAGTCTTCAATGCTGAGTCTTCAATGCTGAAGTAGGCTTCAGCATTGTCAGCAATTTATATCAGCTTTCCTCTTGCTATGGAATTGATATTTTTCATGTTTTAAAAAAAAGCTTGCAAAGTAATAGTGGGACAAATCTACTTACATGTATCATCTAGAATACTTGAAGTTTTAAAAATCTTGAAAAAAATCTTAAGTATATTTAAATTTCATATTTATGTTTACATATATTCAATGGCTGATGATCAAGTTAGGTTAATTGATATTTTCATCTCAAACATTTAGCAAATTTTATTAATGCACACAGTTGTATGTATTTATGATAGTATGGTACAGTAATTTTAATAGAAGTCATTTTTGTAAAGAAAATTTTGTCTTAAACTGTGGATTAAAAGACTGGCTTTATCATGTGATGAAATCACAGGGATAGTACTGTACTTATATACTCTGAAAGCATTTTTAATAATTTGAAAGTCAGATATTCAGAGAGAAAGATCTTCCGTTCACTGGTTCAGTCCTCAGGTAGCTTCAGCACTTAGAACTGAGCCGATCTGAAGTTAGGAGCCAGGGAATTTTTCCAGGTCTCCCACACAGGTGCAGGGTCCCAAGACTTTGGGCCATGCTCTACTGTTTTTCCATGCCACAGGCAGGGAGCTGGAGTGGCACAATTGGGACACAAACTGGCACCCACATGGGATTCCAGCAGATGCAAGGTGAGCTTTTAGCTACTAGGTTACCGTGCAGGGCCCCCTTGCTATGTATTTTGAAGAGTGAGTTTGGAATTGGGTGACAGACATCCCTTCCATTCCAGGACTTATAGACTAGTGATCATACAGGACACAACAGTGTTAGAAGAGACTAAAAGCTCTTGGATGCTGGAGTCACACTTGAGTTTAGTTTGAGTCTCCTTCCCAAAACACACACACACACACACACACACACACACACACACACTTGCCATGATATGGTGCTTAGAAAAGTCGTACAATCACCTTGTGTTTTGGTTTCTTTGGTTTCTTGGTAGATCATTGACAATGATAACACAGAATTCATTCAATGTAAAGTACTTATCAGGACTTGACACAAAGTAGGCATTCAAGAAGCTGCATGGGTGTCATTTTTGCTTTTCTTAAAAAGAAAAGGTTGTTCTTAACTATAGATGACTCAATAACTGAGTGGCAGAGCAGACCTAAATTATAACAGCTGAACAATTAATTACCATTGCTACCAGAAACGTCCTGCACAGATGTTCTCAGTATTGGTTACACATTGGGTCGTCTGTGGAGCTTGAAAAGCGCTGATACCTGGACTGTCTCCAGAGGCCCTTTCATTCATTTGAGGTGTATCCTGGCAATCTCATTTTTCAGAGTGTCCTAAGAGATTCTCATGTTAGCCAAGGATAGAGAACTGTTACTTTGTGGCAATGACTGTGCAAAAAGGTTATTCTGTCCTCAAGGTTAACAGTGCAGAATTAAGTTGAAGAAAATACTTTCCTTCTGGACAGGAGATCCCAGAGCCTGTGGAACTGTATCATAAAATCGAAATCATAATAAATGCTTTCCTTCTAAGGTTATTGTAGACCTGCAGTTTTCCCACTAGCCAAATTCTGGTCACAGCGTCTTCCTCTATAAGTACATTTTATTGGAATACAGTCCAGCCTATTTGTTTATCATTGCCCTCTGTTGGCTTTCCTGCTACAATGAACAGTTAATGCCATTATGTCTACAAAGCTTAAACTGTTACTTTTTGGCTCTGATTGAACATGCTTCTTACTGATGTAGACCACTTGTCAATTGGATTATGATGTAGTTTTGCAAAATACATTCCAGAAAATCAACTTGCTGTATAAAATATTTCCTAGACTGCATGCTCATCATCTTCATGTGAAACTGTTAGCTTTTGGAAAAGACAAATTAAACAGTTAGGTTGAGTGTACATGGGCCGGAAAGGAGCAAGAGTGAAACTGTCAGAGAAGGAAGAGCTTGCTGCTTCCCAGATGGTAGAACTGCAGGATTTCCCTTTCAGAATCACAGAGCCCCGTGGCTTGATCACAGATCCCTTGATGTCTTCCTTGTACCTAGTGCTGGTAGTACAAGTGCAGCAGATTTTATGAGTCATTGTACGTACATTGTACGTGCTAGTTGGTTGTCAGTGACCACTTCAGCCAGGAAATCAAAAGAATCTTAGAGCCCCTCCCGAGTCAAACCAGTGGTCTGGGCTACATTGTCCAAAGCAACAGACTGGTTTCTTCAAGTGATTTCATCGTTTAGAGTGAGATCTCTCCTTTTGCTTTTGTGGTGGGAAAAGGTGGACCTAGCGATGGCAGTCAATCTAGAAAGAACATGTCAGTTGAGAGATGCAATAATCTTGGTATCTTATCACAGGAGTTTCATGGAAACAGTAAATCATTGTACATTGATTTTCTCTCTGGTTAAGCAGATTTTCCTCCAGTTGTGCCTGTCAGGATTCAAGGGGTAGTTGTCTAATTCTTGACAAATGTATCCACCTAGAATCTCCTGTAATGGAAGTGCTAATAGCACCTGATAGGCTTGCTCATCAGCTGTCGGAGAAGTCCGTGATGATGCAGCCACAGCAAGTCCCAGAGGACATGCTCTGCACTGTCATCCAGGGCTTTGCTGTCGCTTTTGCTGCTGACAAATGAGAGCCTCATTGGGAAGTACCGCCCTCTCCTTCCCACCTCCTGCTGCACCTGGTGGTGGTGGTGGACAGTGTCTTGAATGAACCCAGATACAGCTGTGCGTTATGCCTCTCTGAGGACCTTGTGAGCGTATGTCACAGACAGCAGCATTGTAGCTGTTGCTGGGTGCCCAAGTGCTTGTTAGCCTATTATCAGTTTTTGATAAAAAAAAAAATTGTTACTTTGACAATAGAAATGAGATTTAATTACAAACACGATTTGATCTTTCTGGCATTGGCTCCAGTAAGATTGTAATTTCTCTTACAGAGGAAGACAAAAGTTTTGCAAAGGAATTGGTGAGAATTTTGTCAAGTCATAGCTGCATTATCACTGCTCCTTGTACTTCTCTAGGGCACTGTGGATACTATGCCCTATGTTTCTTGCATTACCAGCAATCCTGGAGAGACGCTGGTGAACACCCCCAGCTTTGCTTGTGCCTGTAGGAAGCCAAACGAGCTTGATCCTATGTCCAGTGACTCAAATGCTCAGTGCAGATTTGTGACTTGGCAACATGGTCTCTGTGGGATTGTAACTGCCAGTACCTTCTGGGACTGAAGAGGCTTCCTTGGACGTTTGCAGGGTGCACAGATGCAGCCTCCTCAGAAGCAACAGTGAGGACCATTTGCTTCATGTCCCTGGAAACCCAGCTCAGAATGTTGCTGTAGGTGTTATTGCCAGGCAGGAGAGAGAGAAGAAAGTTGTGCTGATGCCCTGTCTCTGTTGAGCAGTGCTGTAATTAAACCACCCCTTCTTGTTTTTTGGAGTTTGTCTTTTCTTTCCAATCTCTTTACTTCTAACATGTTTGGATGAATAGTTGCATAAGTCACTCCTGTTGAACCTATATTTTGGTTCTTGAGGTTTAACACTGTAGAAAAATCCCTCCGTTTGCAAGACTCAGACGTTGTTTTTGTTGCTATTATGTGCTATGGAAGCTGCATTTCCTGGTGCTTGGATGACTCGGGCATGTGGCCTTGCCCGAGGCCCCTGCCCTCACCTTTGCTGACACCCCCAGGCCCTGCAGCTGCCGACCTAGCCACAGCCCTATGTGGGGGCTCTGTTTCTACTCCATTTCCAAACACTCACTGCTTGAATCCGACCATCAGCCAGGGATGCGATCACGGGGCTCTCTAGGGCATCAGGTTAGGGCTGGGAACATGAGGCTGCTTTGCAGGATATTGGAGAGTGAGCACTGACTTGGAGGAGTGACCCACCCAGCCGTAAGGGCCTGTGCTGCTGCCCCTTCACAGACTTCCTTCTGGGAGTCCCTGAATTGGACAGGATACATCACCAGCTTGTAGTAAACCTGTACTGAGACTCAAAGTAGCTGAGGAAAGAACCTTGTTAGAAGTCACCTGCCTGTGAGACAGTGAGTGAGCAGGCTTAGGGTGTGGGGCCTGCATAGCCTGAGGTCATGGAGCTTGGTGTGGAGGGGTGGTGGTCCTGCCCTATGCCTATTCCAGCCAGCTGTGGCCTGCGGTTGTGGCAGAGCCTTGCTCTGGGCAGACTACACTATGTAAGTCAAAAGGTCCCAGCCCATCTTGCCATTCCTTTGTTCTGGGGGAAGCAGTGATCATAGTCTTTCTCTGTATCCTCTGATATAGAACTTTCTGGGAACATACATTCTTTATTGTAGAGAGATACCAATTTCTCTCATTGTAGATTAAAAGAAAAAGATATATGTATTTGAAAGGCAGAATGGCAGAAAGAGAGAGCGTGAGAAAGAGATCGTCCCTCACTGGCTCTCTCCCTAAAGGACTGCAACATCTAGGTCCAAGCCAGGCTAAATGAAGCCAGAAGCTAGGAACCCCTCTTGGGTTTCTTACGAAGGTGGCAGAGGCCCGAGCATGTGCACCTGATTTCACAGGTGTTTCGGAAGCTGACTCAGAGGTGGAGCAGCTGAGACTCAAACAGGCACTCTGAGTTAGGAAGCCAGTGTCAGGAGGGGCGGCTTAACCCACTGCACAAAATACCACTCTTTTTCTTTTCGATTGAGAATCCTAACTTTAGAACTAGAGGAGGGGGTAGTCTAAGAATTATTTAGCCAAAGATTTCATGGCTCCTCACATTCAATTTTAAAACATGATTGAGTGAATGAGAATACATTTACTTCCAGGTTCTGTGCTGGCTGTTTTATGGGAAAGTGACAGGAACAAATACTGAGTTGGGTTATGTATCAATGCCAGGTGTTTTACAGATGTTAGCTCATTTTACTCTCTAGCACTCCTCTAACTGGTTACTGGTGCTATCTCCATTTTCAGAGCACAACATTAGGACTTGAAAAGTTTAAGTAACTTTTCTGAAAAGAAAAAAAAGTTGTTTGGGAGGGTGGGAGGAATTGATAGTCATAATGGGCAATGCATGAGAAGAGGCCATTGGAGACACTTTAGAAAGGTCGGTACGGGAGCTGGTCATAACCTAGATAGCATGCTCAAGATCTAGGCTTACTCTATCAGTGAAGAAAACGCGGGGTTTTTGGACTGAGGGGTCGGCAAGGATAGAGTACTATCCTAACTGTCCAGGCCGAAACGTGTGGCCTGGGAGAGCCTGCAAGCAAGAGGCAGGCTGTTGACGAGGGGCCAGTGAGCTGAAGGAGGAACTCGCCCAGGCGGCTGTGGGTAAGGAACGGTACAGAGAAACCTGGCATTTCCTTTAGGCTTTCCTGTAAGTCTTGTCTTGGGCTTGGTTTTAAATTTTTTGTCGGAGAATATTGCTGATGCCGGCATTACCTTCAATTTCGGTGACCAACAAATACGCACATTTTTTTTAAAAGCCACATTTTAAAAATTTCTTATTATCTACCATGTGTCTTTTATCACTGGAATATATTGATTGAACTCTGGGGAGCCAGGTGCTTAGCCTGGCCCAGACTTAGCCATAATTCTAAGCCTCATTTTGCTGCTCTGAAGTGCCTCGCTCAGCTAGGAAACTATCAGGTCTCCTTTATTTCATTGAAGCCAAAAGTAACATGATTTTGAAAAAAAAAAAGAAGAAGAAGATAGTACAAGTTGGTTTTTGTGTTATCTTGGTTGAAAATTTTATTTCTCAGGAAGAGTGAGGGAGATGGGCTGAGCAGGGATGCGTCCCCTCTCCCCATCCCTGTGTTCTCTGTTCATGGACAAGGCTCGCACATGCGTGCTGATGAATGCTAACTTCTCTCTGCAGATTTCTGCTCCCGGCAGGTCTTCTTCCAATGTCAATGGTGGCCCTGAGCTTGCCCGCTGTGTGAGTCCCGAAGGTAAGCCTCTCTCTGATCACTCCTTTTATGAAGGCTTACTGTTGTGAACTTTTCTGTTTAGACATCACTGGCACTGACTTGTGATGTTGCTCAACAGGGATGTGGTCATGTCGCCTCTTCACCCTGTCAGGTGGCAGGGATGGAGGTGACTTCAAGATCAATCAAATGTTGTTATTTAAGCTGTCATGGTTTTGTATTTTAGACTTAGGGTTCCTGTTTTTGTTTTTGCCCAGTGGGGATCTGCTCACAAATCTTTACATGTGTTTCCTTTAACTCAACTTCTTTTGCTATTTCTGTTTTTAATTGTTTTTGTTTGTTTTTTATCTGAAAAAATAGTTATAGGTGGACAAATATCTTCTATCCATTGATTCACTTTCCCAAAACTTGTAAAACTCAGTGTTGAGTCAGACTGAAATCAGGATCTGGGAATTCAATCCTTGTCTCCCCAGTGGTGACGGGCACCCAAGTACATCTCCCAGAAGCTGGACTTGAACCTAGGTCATCCAGTATGTACTGCCGAGGGTCCCAAGCAGCATCTTAATCATTCTAACAGATGCCTGATCCCTTTCACTCAGATGACAACAATAGATTTATTTGATATCTGCTGTGTGCTAGCCTCTGGGACCCATTGTACAAAGTAGCCCTATGTAAGTGGTTCTCCCAATCCTCCAACATATGTAACTTGGTAGGAAAACTTTGAGCCAGTACTATCTTTAACACAGCTTCTTGTCTGGGAAGAATCTCTTACCAGAAACCCTGAAGGAGAAATGTTGAAACATTTCTAAAACTAAATCCTCACTGCTTAAGAAAGAGCCTAGGGAAGTTTTTATGGGAAATCTTTTGGCCCCGATCTAATCACTCCCGCCAACTAACACTTCAGGGATTGTTAAATTTGCTGATGATGTTGATTCCTGTCTCCAGTCACAAGGTCAAAAGGAAATTGGTGACTCAGGTGTGCTGTCCAGGAAATGCGATTTTCTTCAGGTTTGCTACAGTTCTAGAAATGAAGACATTGCAGCTTACCACTTTACAGATAGGGCTGCACACACGCACATTTAATCCTTTTTGCAGGTGTGAATGGAAACAGGTGCTCTGAAACCTCGGCTCTGCTTGAGAAATACAAAATTGGGAAGGTGATTGGTGACGGCAATTTTGCAGTAGTCAAGGAGTGTGTGGACAGGTGAGTGATGGTGAGGACTGCTGTTGCACCTCCACATGCATTTCTCCTTGGAGTTTATGCTTAATGCTCAAAAGATCTTTCTTGGAAGTTTCTTTTTTCTCCCACAGACAGACTCTATGAGTGGGGTGGGTAGCTGTTTTTCTAGCCCACAGTTTTATGGGTGGGAGGGAAGTATACATTCACACACACATTATAAATCTGGTTTGTATGCATTTGGACTGAGATATCCAGCTTCTATCCATAAAAGATTGGAAAGGGTTACTTGAAGAAAAAAATAATAACTATGATAGTCCTGGCGTGTGCCAGACCCTGTTTCCAGTCTGTGCTTTTGTTTGCTTGTTTAACTTCCATAGTTAACCACCCAGTTAATTCTTACTTGAATACCAGTAGTTTGCAGGGCGCATATTCTGAGCCAGCAAATGTTTGCTGACTCTGGTCCATTTTGTAAATAGTATGAAAGTCAGAAGCAATTTAGATTAGAATCTTAGTGTTTATAGGCTATTCTCCAGTATTATAGGCTACTCTCCAGTTTTGAATGTTAATGTTTGTGGGGAATTTTCCAGAAGTTCTGGAAACTGCGGTTTTTCTATTTTGTTCACATCTCCGCTGTAGCTGTAATGCCCCTTATGTTTATACACCAGGGAATGCTTCATTCTGTAAGGTTTTTTACTTAGCTCTGAGACAGAGCTTGCCACCCTAAGAACAAAGTGTCTAAAATATGACTTCTTAGGACTCATTAGAAATCTCAGAGTTTTGGTTTAAGTCATTCCTCCAAGAGAGGCCTCATCAGTGTGTGTCATGGCAGCTTGGCGAAAGCAGTCGACTGCATTTGAGAGAATTAAGGGTCTAAGGATACAGTGGTATTATTTTTAGTTCTTGTGTGTGTGTGTGTGACATCTGAAAGACAGAGATAGTTCACTGTAAATGCCCACAGCAGCTAAGACTGGGCCAGGTCAGAGCCAGGAAACTGGAACTCAGTCTGGATCTCCTATCTGAGTGTCAGGGTGGCAAGGGACTCGAGCCATCTCCTACTCTTTCCAGTCTTTGCAGTAGCAGGATGCTGGATTAGAAGCAGTATGGTTAGGACTGGGGCCAAGTGCTCCGAGAGGGAGAGGCGTGCATCCCTAGCAGCAGTGAAGCCACTGTGCACATGCCTGCCCACCGCAGTGCTCTTCACCAAGCTGCTCTCCTATACCAGAAGATGCTTTGAGCAAGTTCAGAGGAAATTATGTCAAAGTAATGAAAAGTAATTTCAGGATTCTTATGTCCAAGTAAGTGATGTCTGTAGTGCTGGATACCAGCACTTAAAATCGCAGCTGAGATGGCACCAGCTCTGAGCTGGTTTGTGTGGCTGCCTTCCTGGAGCCAGGAAGGAAATCTGCAGTGACCTGCGCCTTTAGCTCATCTCCTGCTCCTCCTCTAGGTCCACCGGAAAGGAGTTTGCCCTGAAGATTATCGACAAAGCCAAGTGCTGCGGAAAGGTATGGCATCCACAAACGCGGTATAGACAAGGTTGGCACCAGGTGGTGATAGGGCTACTCTAAGGAAGACATGGGGAGATCGCCTGGCACACCTCAACTACCAGGGACAGCCAGGGAGACAGGCAGGCTTGTTCTTTCCTGTGTATTTCCAGAAATTGTGATCCTAAAACCTAAGGATGATTTGCAGTTGGTCCTGACTGCACAAAGCGTTAAGTTCTCGCCTCTGGAAAATGCCCATCTCGGAGCTCAGCTGCTGACTCCAGAGATGGCTGCAGCTCTGAGACTTCATGGAGGCTGGTGGATGACACAGGGTTCCTGAGTCAGGGACAAGAGACCTGGTCATGGCACAGGAGGCCGGCTGCATGCAGTTGGCACAGTGGGCTTGTGTCACACCTGAGAAACGTAAGCTAAGAGAAGCCCTAATTGGATAAGGGGCTGCTGCATATCCTGGCTCAGAAGAGTGAGCTTATTGTCCAGGCCAGGAAGTAGATCTACCCCATGTGCTAATGGGGCTCTATCTCTGTGTGGCCAGGGTATCTGCCACACAGACAGCAATGCTGTGGAAAGGGAGTATAGGGGCAGAGCACTGAGACAGGGTGGGCAGCCATGCTGTGGGGAATTGCCTCCAACACCCTGAGGGCGGGGCTGGGAAACGAGCCACAGATGGGACGCTTTCGGAGTTCTTGTCCTTTATGTTGGAATAATATCTGCCAGTACTGACTTTGGGGAGTCCTTAGTGGGAGCACAGTAGTGGAGAGGGCAACCTGGGGGTCCTCTGTCCAACTGCTGGCCATGGCAGACCACCTCCCTTGTGCAGTCATCTGGAATGACATGTGTACTAAGCCTGGAATGCATGCTAGACTTTGAAGACAATATTGAAGGGAAAAATAAAGAAGGAAGAAGTATCTCCTTCATAGCATTGTATTTGATTCACGTTGAAATGATGAAGTTTTGGATATATTAGGTTGTTTCTAAAATTAATGTTATCTTCTTTGCACATTTGGAGTATGGCTGTTAGTAAACTGAGAATTACATGTTTGTTTCACGTTGCCCTGAGTTGGACAGTGGGGAACTTGAACGAGGTTACACATAATTATTTAGTCCTAGCTCCTCCTCTTGTTGCTGCATGACCTTGGAAAGATTGCTTAATCCCTCTGTATTGGCTACTGCCTCTAAAACAGGGGAGGCGGAACCTTTCTTCTGCTGTAGGGCCACTTAGGGCCCAAGGGCATTAAAAGAATGATTGAGTTTGGAGACCCTCCTTCGGTTGCTGTCACAGGGCCAGACCAGATGATCTCACAGGTCTTACACAGCCTACAGCCTGGATGGACCCTGCCCTTGCTGTAACAGGTGTGTATCATAGCAAAGACGAGGTTACTGTGAGAATGGATGGAAGTAAGGCATGGAGGCCATGGGGCAGAGGGCCAGTTTAGCATCCATTTAGCACATGTTAGCTGTTAACATCATTCTTCTGTCAGAGGAATCTAGAATCTGGAATGAACAGTGTTTCGGGTGACAGTGATTTTAATCTTTTGGAACTCCTACTCTTCATCAAACATTTGTGGAAGTGTGTCTGTTTAACAGCGATTCTAAACAGTATTCTGGTAAAGTTTTAGCGAAGTCTTCTCAGAGTCCCAAAACAGAGAAAATCCAGACTGATTTTGTCCCACTACATTGTGGTAGTTAATACAGCAGGGATTGTGCAAAATGCCCCTTTGAATAAAATTTTCTTAATTTTTATCTTTACCTAGCAAATAGAGTTATACATAATTATGATGTTTATGTTTGATTTTCTTAAGTTCTGTATAATTTTACTTACTCTTCTAACAGTATTACTCTTTTTAAACTGTGATTGCCTTTGTCGTAAGTTTTCTCTGCTGTTGTGTGAGCTAAGCAGAATGTGTTATAATTTCTGGACCATGTTCTTTTTGACTGTATTAAAGCTTATTTTCCAAACGAGTTTAAAAAATTGCTGCAGTAAGAATATTGTTTACTTGTTTAGAATTGAAGTAGCTTTATATGCAGAAAAATGAACTGATGCACAAAAAGCTAGGGCAGGTTGGATAGGCCATTTAAAATCTTTGGATCTGGATTTTTCCCCTTATTATAGAAGGTCATTCTATTTCTATAAATAATGATTCTATGTTTATATCCATCCTTACGTTTTGCTTGCTTGAGCAACTATCCTCACACTAAAGCTACATAAAATTACACTTTTAAGACTTGATTGGTTACAAATCAGTTTTTTTCCATTCAATTTCAACTGTAGGGAATAAAAAGATTTAAATTTAGGAGTGCAGTCAGCCTTATTCTGGGATATTGACTGGGTGAGTTACACAGTCAGTAGTGCTGAAAATAGTACCTTCCATTTGTTACCAAGTAGTGGATCCCCAGGTGTTCTATCTTACAAGCACGTTCTCGTTAATTACTTGCAGAGCAGATCTGAACCTTCCACGGACTCTGGTGCAGTAGCTTTCCAGAATCACACAGAGGCAGAGCAGTGATGGGGAGTGGGGTGGCTTGGGACCTTCACCTCTGGGTGGCCAGGCTCACATGCTTCTGCCTCTGTCCAGTATATTCATTTCCTCTCATAATCAGGGCCTGGAGAGAGTTGTTCATCTTTTTGTTCTGTAATATATATGTGTGTGTGTGAAGAGGTTAATTTATTCACCTAAAATTTACCAAGTATATTCTGTGACCACAAAACACTGTCCTGGGGATGAGGTAGTTGAATACAAGGATATTTCAACATTTGTGGATAAGTAGGATTAGCATGTAAGTTTGTTTTGATGCCAACAAAAGAATAGTTGTTAAAACCCGTGTATAATTTTTCCCTAGTAAGTATTTTTCATGAACTTTTAGGGACCTGTTTATTGTAACATTTCAGTACTTTTTTGTACCAAAATAAACTATCCCTTCATTATATTATTCTATTACTATGAGATATCCTTTTCTGTACTTTCAGATCAATTCTGTGAAGGATGTTGTGGAGTTCTTGGGGAAGCATTGGTGTTTCAGCTAGTCCCTGGCTAGGAGGTTGTGTGTGTGGGGTGGAGGGTGTGATGGTGTTTCAGAGCAGCCTGAGCAGGGGCGCAGAGGAGAGAGAGCACACGGCTTCTTTGGCAAAATCTATCTTGGGGCCAGATTTATGCGGGTTGTTGACAGAGCTCTATGGTGTTTGTAAATTCTTCTGGTAAATTCTTAGGAGTTTTCCCAGTTGTCTTTTTAATTCCACGTGCTGATCAAATCCCTGACACAAAGCCCTGGGCTTTATATGACGGTGCTTTTAGTGGTCCTTCTTTCACCTCCCACCCACACAGCATCCATCATCTACGTGCTGCAGCTACGGGCAGATCCTAAGTCCCAAGAGTGGTCCGCTGGCTTGCTGAGGCTTTGGGAATGTCGGTCCGCACACTTGGTGGCTTAAGACCACAGAAGGTGGCACTGTCACAGTTCTGGAGGCAGCAAGTCAGGAAGCCTCACTCTCCTGGGACTTTGGGGGAGGAGTTTGTGCTTGGTCTCTAAATACACTCCGTGGTGGGTCGGCTTCTTGTGCGGCCTCTACCTGCATCTTCATGGGTGCCTTCTCTTATATCTATGCCAATCTTCCTTTGCCTTTTTCTTACAAAAACTTCAGCTAGGGCCTGGCACAATAGCCTAGTGGCTAAAGTCTTTGTCTTGAACCAAGATCCCATATGGGCGCCGGTTCTAATCCCAGCAGCCCTACTTGCCATTGAGCTCCCTGCTTGTGGCCGGGGAAATTTGTCAAGGACGGCCCAAGGCCTTGGGACCCTGCACCCGTGTAGGAGACCTAAAGGAAGGTTCCTGATTCCTGGCTTTGGAGCAGCCCAGCTCCAGCCTTTGCGGCTGCTGGGGAGTGAATGGACGGAAGATCTTCCTCTCTATCTCTCCTTCCTCTCTGTATATCTGACTTTGTAATAAAAGTAAATAAATCTTAAAAAAAAAAAAAAACTTTAGCTAATCTCTACATTGCAAGATCCTTAGTCCTGTCTGCAAATTCTTTTTCCAGATAAGCTAGTATTTATGAGCTGCTGGGATTCGAACTTGATCCTTGGCCATTCCATCTGCTACATTCATCACTAATCCTGAATATTGATTTAAACAACGTTATGCCTTACTGTATCATCCTCAGCATTATTGTTATTTTGTAAGTTACTGAAGGCAGGAAGAGAAGCAAACAGGTACACAGGGAACTCCTATGTGCTGGTTCACTCCACAAATGCCTGCAAGGCCTGCAGGAGCCAGGGTGAGCCACACTGAAGTCAGGAACAGGAAACTCCAACCAGATCTCCTGTTGGATGGCAGAGACACAGCTGCTTGAACCAACAGCCGCTGCCTCATAGATTAGCTAACAGGAAACCAGTAAGGCTGGAACTGAGCACTCTACCTAGTATCCAGTACTCTGACAGGGTTTCAGCATAGTTTGTTTTTCTTTTTTTAAGATATATATATATTTTTTATTTGAAAGGCGGAGTTTCAAAGAGTGGTTCTCCATCTGCTGATTCACTCCCTAAATGGCTGCAGTGGCCAGACCAGACCTGAGAGCCAGGGGCTTCTTCCATCTATGTGACGGGCCCAAGCACTCGGGTCATCTTCCTCTGCTTTCCAAGGCAAATTAGCAGGGAGCTGGATCAGAAGTGGAACAGCCATGTCTCAAAGTAGCACCCATATGGGATGGTGGTGTTGCAAGCAGTGGTTTTACCTGCCGCACCACAACACCAGTCCCAAGGGTTATTACATCTTTAATCCCTAGGCTCAATACCCACGCTTGTCCTCAACATCATTGACTGCCAACTGGAGACCACTATGAGAAAGAATAACACACATTGTGTTTTTCTTCATATGGAAACTTGAATACCTATTGTGTGTTACTGATGATGCTGGTGGCTAGAAATAGGGCAATGGACCAGCAAACACGCACAGCAAGCAGAGAGGAGGAAGGTGGTGTGAACACACGAGGGTAAGAGGGGGCACCCAACCCAGCCTTCCGTGGCAGAGGAGCTGAAATCTGGGCTTGTTCTGAGGAATGAATAAGATCTTCCCAACAGTAAAGACTGTTCTAGAAGGAGAAAAGAACCTCTGTCAGTGCCTGGAAATTGAAGGAGAAGCTGGTCAGAGGGACAGAGAGAAGTAAATCTGTTGATTCAGAGACCTTGAAAAGATTGAGGGGCCAGGACTGGTGATTGATTGGGGACTTGAGTGGATGAGCTGTGGAGGAACCCCAACAGTACTCCCATTTCTGCTTTAGATGCCCAGGTTAGTTCAGTGAGACAGAAACAGGGAGGTGGGGATGAAGGAGAAGTGGAGACTGGCTCATTAGGGAAGGGTCGATCTCCCCAATCTGCTTCTCTGGTCTCTGTCTCTGTTACAGTTCACCGTGGCCAGGGATGAGGCAGGATCATCTGCCAGCTTACCAGTTCTCCTTGTCATTTACTCTTACACAAACTTGTGGAGCACTGCCATGACTTGATTCATATGTAAATTATTTAGAGCTAGAATTGCAAATCACTTAACATAATAATAGGTGATCGAATAATCAGTGTGATTCAAGATAAAAGTGACATTATCTTTAGAAATACTTGGAAAAATGTAATCAGAATATTTTAACAAAAGCAAAAGTTACAAATGGATTGCACGAAGATAAGAAGATACCATTTAAGGATTTCTATACAGTGTTTTGGTTTTGTTTCCTGTGATGGTTAGTTTGAAGAGAATTGTTCCTGTATGCCATGGCCATTGTCTAGCAGAAGACAGGAAAGTGAGATCATAAGTAATGGTGGAGATGATGTTGATACAATATTTGCTCCGAATGTGGAATGTGACGCTGCCATTGGCCCTAAGAGAAGGCCCACGGCACATCCCAGAAGAGTTTGCCTTGTGTATTTATTGAAAAAGATCATGCTTGGGGAGGTGTCCTGTGTGTGATAGACCTCTGCTTTAAATTCAGGTTTGAGACAGCTTGGGGGTCATCGTGATAGGAATCATTTTGCATGTGTCTCTTCAGCTGAACATCCAAAGAAAGCCTCAGGAAAGAGGAAGGATTAGAGTCTTCTGACTTTGCAGAAAATGAGGGACAGGGGGAGAATTGAAGGGATAGCTTTGTTGTGTGTGCCAATAAAAAGCCTGATTTACTGCAGTGGCAGTACTAAGCTCTGTCTTCATTTCACACAGAGCAGAGTCAATTCATTTGCGTGCTTTCACATGTTCACAGACGTATGTCTGACTGGTCTGTGTGATTAAAAACATGCTAGGTATAGATCACCTAAAAACTTCAGGATGTGTGAGTAGACAGGGACACTTGCCAAGTGTTCCCTTTGTGTGACCACAAGGGTTGGCCAGGAGCTGCGTCCCGGGGGACAGAGCAGGGCGCTGACTGCTGCTTTGTCACTTGGACAGATGGACGTGGTCACAGGCGAGAAGCCGCATCTCGGGCTTCCCAGCTGTGGTTTGTTGTTGAAAGCGGAGACCCCTGCTGTTTAGTGGGACTTGGAGGTGTTTGGTGAGTCCTGACCCAAAGACATCCTAGCCTTAAAAAGAAACGTCGACTCCCTTCTTTGCCCAAAGCTTCGTATGGTTCATGTTGCTGCTGCTTGATTTCATCTTTTCAAGGAATGACGTATTTCCTGCTTTCCAACTAGCATGTACATTCTGGGGGGAAAAAAAAAATTAAGGTTTATTTATTAATTTTTTTTGGAAAGCCAGAAGTATAAAGAGGAAAAAAGAGAGGAAGATCTTCTGACCGCTGTTTCACTCCTCAAGTGAGCCGCGATAGCCAGAACTGTGCTCATCCAAAGCCAGGAGCCAGGAGCTTCTTCTGGGTCTCCCACGCGGGTGCAGGGTCCCAAAGCTTTGGGTCGTCCTCGACTGCTTTCCCAGGCCACAAGCAGGGAACTTGATGGGAAGTAGAGCTGCCAGGATTAGAACTGGCGCCAATATGGGATCCTGGCATGTTCAAGATGAGGACTTTGGCTTCTAGGCTACCGCGTCGGGCACCATTCTGAAAAATTTTAACTTGACTTGTACTGATGAGTAGTCCCGTTGAAAGGTACTGATGTATAGAAGCCATAATGTGGGCTTATATGTCAGCAGCCTGTGATTGCATCCCTACCTGCAAGAGCTGTTCCAAAGAGGAAGTGTGAAGATATTCAACCAGGGTCTGTATAGTGTAGCTGCCACTGACAGATAATGATCCCTTCCCGGGAGGTGTTGGTTCCTCCTCTTCCTCCTGCTTCAGGTGTGTGTTTGCCAGCACTGATTGATTGCTTCGACAAAGTAAACTGCAATCAGCACTCAACTTGCCATGTGCAGGCGCCTACAACAGGCTTTCTCTGTGTGTGATTTATTCATTTGCTATGATGTACATCTCCCATTATTGTCAAAAGGATTTGAGATGCCTCAGAATAAAAGTCTACATGCAGATGCATGAAGATAAGGCCAGAAGTAGTATCTGGTATCCTGAATTAGGGATAATTATTTCACTCCTGGAGTGGAGTAATAAATCAGGCTGAGACTGATGAGAGCAAAGGCCAAAGGGCTAGTTGAGGGATCCGAGCACATGTCTCTGTAAGGATTTGTCCATGCATGCATGTTTAGATAGCAAGTACTATGTGTTAGGTTTATCAGAGAGCTAAGCTGTTTGGATGCCTAGGATGTGTAATCGATTCTCTAGGTTCAGCCTGATTGGTTGTAAAGTAAATGAGGATCAATAGTGGGTCACCGTTGGAAGGCTTGCATGGCTGATTTAAACCAGAGCAGTCATCATTCATGGTCCCTAGACTGGCATCGGGAGACCTATTCCTCGGTGCTGTGAGTCAGCGCTGTGCCTCAGTGCCAAGCGCAGCTCTGTCACTCCGCGGAACTGATGGGCAGCTGGTGTTTTCAGAGAAGTGATTACCCTTGAAAATGGGAATAGTGGTCCCTGTGACACTCTGTTTCCAGATTTCTGAGATAGAAGATGGGAAGGAACACCCGTCTGGTGAATGGATTTTTATATCCCATCATGGAGAAAGTTTCCCTTTCATGAATTTCAACATGAAATTCAAATTCATGCTGTAATGGTTTAAAAACTAAAAGTTCTGATGACAGAAGTTGTATAATATGCATGGAAAACTTTATTAGATGCCAAGTCCTTACTTCTGAATTTATGCCAAACTTCACATTCTGGCTGACTTACCCAGCACAGTGCCATGTACCCAGGTTGCCCCAGCATCACAGGGTGCTGGAAGTGATGGTGAGATAGGTGGGGTGCTGTGTGCATCACCAAGCCCTTCCAGCGATGTGTGGAAGTCTGACAATGACGATGAGATGTCCACTTGACCTGCTCTGCCTTAGGGGAACCAACGAGGCCAGGTCTCTGTGCCAAGACACATGCTTTCGTCAGCACTGTCTGTTCCCAGACAGTGTTTGTTTTGTTGTCCTGCACAGGGCGATTGTGGTTTCTCATCCTCTCTTTCTTGCTTCATTTTACAGGAACACCTGATTGAGAATGAAGTGTCAATTCTACGCCGGGTGAAACACCCCAATATCATAATGCTGGTGGAGGAGATGGAAACAGCAACTGAGCTATTCCTGGTGATGGAATTGGTGAAAGTAAGAGGATGGAGAAATTTTCTTTGGTGCCTGATTCCAAAGCATAATATTCTGAAAAATTATGTAACCAGAAAACTGTCTTGGCACCTTGTAACTTTACCAGCTTTAACAGCACTCATGTCATTTTCTTCCATCTAGCCCCAAGCCAATGATCTGTGGTTCTTATCTTCATAGGATTTTGCATTCTTGAACTATTGATAGGCTCTATTTGGTATCCTTTAGGGTGGTGATCTCTTTGATGCAATTACTTCTTCAACCAAGTACACCGAGAGAGATGGCAGTGCCATGGTGTACAACCTGGCCAACGCCCTCAGGTATCTCCACAGCCTCAGCATCGTGCACAGAGACATCAAGCCAGAAAACCTCTTGGTATGTCATCTCTGCTTTTCCCGATGCACCTGCTGCTGTCTCCCTGCATTTCAAATAATCATAACTAGATGCACCCTTGAGGCTATACAGATCCTGCAGTAAGAGATTTGGAATTTAGAAAGTCATAAAGATTCAAGTCGGCAATAATGAAATATTAATGGATTTCTTGAATTGATCTACATTCACTGTTTGCCAGATGTAAAAAGACATTTTTTATTTTGCATTGTAATTGATGGTACTGACTGGAGAAAGATGAGTGGGAAAACTACTTTCTGGGGCAAAAAATTCTACATACATTGGAGACGAACTACAGAATCATAGGAGACAGAAGTAGAACATATGAGGTCATTGATGTGCAGGACAGACTTTAGAAAATTCTCTAGTTCATTCATCTAAATTTTACTCATTGTTGTTGCTTACAAGCCACATTTGTCCTGTTCGATGGAAGAGAAGGTCCTTCCGGTGACACTCACAGACCTTTGTGGTCCTGGCCTGCTTGTCCAGCCTCCTGTGCTGTTAGCTACTCTTCCTTACCCAGCAAGTCACTCACCTGCGTGCTGTGTCTGACTCACTTGCCAGTGGGCCTCGGTACCTAGACGCCACCAATTAATGGAAGCAAATGGTGGCAACTGTGTGATAGAGGAATTTTAGGAAAGTTGGAGGGTCTTGTATGCAAAAACACCCCCAGTACCCAAGACTGAGCTTCCCTTTTCCCATCTCTTGGGGCTGGGTACCATCATCTTATCTGACTCTTCCATATCCTGTTCAAACACACACAAAGGTTGCCCCCATCCTCGGTAGTTAAGCCTTGACTTCATGAACACCCTTTCGTCTCCATTGCTTCTGCCTATTCTGGTCTTCTTTTGCAGAGTTCTCTCTCACAACAGTGTGGAATCTACTCATTTTCTGAGAATTAGCAGGAATTAGGCCTTCTGTGCCATCACCCCCAAGTTCTATGGGCAGAATTCTGTCATAGCCACCTTTTTTTTCTGCTACACTTGCCTGGGTGTTTTGATTCCGTCATTTATTTTTCTGGCTCCTTCTTGAGATTTTAAGCACTGCAGTGGGGTAAAGTTCATGTCTCAATTTGCTTTATATCTTCAGTTTCTTGGATAAAAGCAAACAGGTACCCAGCAGATATATGGAGTCAGTTGGCACCGACAGTCAGTCAGCTCGTAGCAGGTGACCCTGGGAGGCATCTCTGCACCCTACCTTGTGCTTGCACTTTCTAAGTAATTGTTGCCTGGAAGAGTACTTCAAAATTTCATGGAAAATATGTAGTGTGAAGAAATGGCATGGAAGTGGAAGCTTTGGAAGCCAGCCTCTCTTTTTGCTGGGTATTTACTTAAAAGTTGCACAGTTCTTGGTATGACCTGTCTTAAGGAGCTATGCAGATAGGCCCTCCCTCATCCTTAAGCCCGAAATATGATACGCTCCAGAATCTTAGAAAAATCTCTGTGCATCGTGCAAACAAAAAGGGGAAATGGACTCCGTCTCATGAACTCAAATGAGGAGTGGAGGCTGAGTTGAAAGCTGGCTTCTAGTTGAAGGGAGGGCTGTGCTCTGAGCTCCTGTCATGAAGTGGCTTCTCATCCCTCAAGGCCGTGCCGAGGCTGGCTTCCTCCACGTGCTGTTAATGATGGTGTTTCTTCAGCTCCTTGTCTCCACCATGCACCTCACCCCTGCAGCTCCTGGAGTTATTTTGCCATTCTCTGTATCTGTAGGAGCCACAGGCTTCTGGGGGGCTGCTGGTTCCTCTGGAGCCAACCTCCTCTGCAGCATTGATTGTCCAAGATCCAGGCAGGAAGGTGATGGAGGAATAAGAGAACTCTTCTGTCAACCAAGAACCGTCCAGGGGTGCCTTTCTCCCCTCCGGCTCTTTTCTGCCTCCAGTTTCTTAACAGGTGTGAAGTCTCCTCACAGTTGGACACCTCCTCTTCCTCTCTTGTCCTGTCTCAAGGGTAAATAATATAGGAAGGCTTGCTGACTTTAGCATTTGTGTGTTCTGCGATGAAATCAGAGTCTGAATTGCATTCTCAGTCCCCCCTATAATGTCCTCTCCTTTTCTCCCAACCCTACCCTACCCTGTTGTGCTGCCCAAAGATGAGGAAGAGGAAAATGATCATAAACTGAGGCTAGCACTTGATACGGAAAGGCCATGGAGTCTGGCTACAGAAGCAGCCCTAGCCACACTTACCAAAGTACCGTGTGTCTACCATAGGAAACATAACACGGTCACTTGGCAGACTGAGAAATGCCAGCAAGTAGGCCTTGGTCTAGGAGGAGAAAGTGACATTGCGATGCTAGCAGTAAATACCCAGAGAGACTGTCGCCTCTCCCTGTCTGAGAACTGATTCAGATTTTACCCAGCAGACTGCTCAGACATCTGATTTGCATCCCCTTGTCTGGTTGCGGGGTCATAATTTAAAACCCTGCCAGTGGAGATGGATGGGTCGCCGTGTCAGGGAGCACGGGGGTGGCCGTTAATGCAGTGAGTTACAGCCTGGTGGTGCCCTGTCAGAGTTAACTGTGAGCCCAGTGATAAATTCGCCCTCGCCAGGAGTTCTGGGGCTGGGGGGAGAGAGGAGGGTGGCTTGCTCGCATTTGAAGTCCTTCTAAATCATGATGTAGACATGGTACTCTGCACTTGGGCTGGGGGTACATGCTTCCCGTTTCTTGCTTTAGTTTTCCAAGGGCCACTTGGACCGAAGTCTTGCTCAGCCTGTGGGGGGTGGGCGTCCGCACGCTGAGGGCTGGAGCCGGCCCCCCTTGTGACCGTCTGCATTCAGCATCTGTGCCAGCACAGGCTCCCTCGGGCTCCGGCCCCTGCCCCAACTGGGGATCAGACAGATGCGGTACTGTGTGACACACGGTAGGAGGACGTGGTCATGGCTCCATCCTCCTCAACCCTTGGGGTACCTGGAATTCTGGGAGCCTCCATTTCCTTTTCTTCATCACTGTCCAGTAGGATGACTGGGGAAGGCCTGGGAGGTGGTGTGGGAAACAGTGAAGTCTGCAGTGTTTCTGGGAGCGTGAGGGTCTAGGGGGAGCCCAGCTCTTAGGCGAGCCTTCAGCATTCCTGATCACATTAACTTCTTAGTAAAGGAATGCTGTGTGCGTAGCTCCATGTATGCATGTACACCTGCAGTTTTCCCTAAGCGGTGGAGGTTTTCTCCCATTATCTTTCACACCTTTGATTCTCTGACCAGCTAGTACTGGCAGTGAGTCTGTTCTTTCAGACTTGTGATGTGTTGCCAAGGAGTGCCACTTGTCCAGAAGTAACTCGGTGATTGTGGGCTAGGGAGGCCTTTTATGTTAATACTGCTTCTAGCCATGAATTCTCTGTAGGGAATTTGAACCACAGGACTTCTGAGTATCAACAAAAATACCCAACACCCGAAGAGTTGCCACATTGGGTATTTAAGCACTATTTTTCAAAAATTGCATCTGATATATTTTTCTAAGTTATAAAAACAAAGTGTTGATGCCATCAATAAGACTTTATTTTTTTTACTTTCACAATACAGACATCTAAAATATTGTGCCTAAGATGTTCTTATCACTGTAATTACTTGGGAATTTTTAAATGTCTAGGCTTCGGTGAATGCATCATAAATTTTGATTATATCAGATTGTTCTTAATAATGTTTACCTTAAACACAGTGGGTGGAAAGTTGCCCTAAAACTGTGGCCTAAGAATCTCACCTACGGGCGACATTGCTGATAGTACTGGATATATTTCTGCTGAGCTGTGAGGGACTTGGAATCCTTGCCATCTCTCCTTTCACACGGTAGGTTTTTTCTAGGTGTATTTACACGAAAGGCAGAGTGACAGATTGCTCAAGGGACCCTCTCACCTGTCGGTTCATTCCTCAAAATGGCCACCCTAGCCACACCTGGACTGAGCTTAAGCCAGAAGTCCAGAATTTGGTAGGTGGATGGCAAAAACTCCAGTACATGAGCCATCCTCCCCTGATTCCCAGGAGTGTTAGCCGGGAGCTGCTTCGGAAGGAGAGTACCTACAGCTGCACGGGAGTGTGGGTATTCCACTCCAGCCCAGTTCTGGGATACTTAAACATCCTGATGATGGGTGCTGCGTGGTTGTACAGAGTACTTAAGTCTAGAAGAAGTTAATAAAATACTAAGATGAAAAATCATCTTAGTTAATAGCTGAGGACATCAGAGGTAAGGAGCATGTGTCAGGCTGTACTTTCAAAAATGCTCTGGAATGATGGCTGTGGGAAGCCCAAGGCTGCATTCTAGGAGTAATTATATAACCTCTCCCCTAGCCAGTGTCAGACTGATGGGCATGCTGTTCATAATGTTTGCTTGCTTTCTGAATTTCTTCCTTTTGTTAGTAGTACTTGAGATGGAAATCCAGTTCAGTTTATTGTAAATTAGAAGAAAAAAAAAAAGCATGCTAAATACGTGGAAGATAGCAGAACAGTGAAAGACGTTATCTAAGTCTGTTTTGGATCGCTATACTTTTTTTTTTTTAATCAGAAACTGTGCTTTCAACACAGGTATTCTCCTACTTAGTCTTTGTATTTCATTCTTGACTGTTCAGAGAACAGGCTCCCCATCCTCACTGCTCATTTTATTTCTCGGTGGGTGCTTGCTGAGCACCATTTCTTGGATACTCAGAGCGTTACACATAGTGAATGCTCAGTTAAGGTGGCTTTGCTGCCTGCAGGCTTCGAGGTCCCTCTGAAGCCTGCCGGCTAAGCAGATACCTGCTCCTTCATCTGCTGTGTACGTAAGCACCTGTGTTCATTGCAGTCCGAGGAAGGGTGCTTTCTGCAAAGATGGAAGATGTCTTTTCCAAAGCTCACACAATTGTGAAATCCTTGAAGAGAAGAATAAGCACTTGAAAGCCGCAGATAGAAGCGATGGTGTTAGTGTCATTAGTTCATCTTGAGTGCATTGGTACATGTGCCTCTCTCTGCCGAATCCCAAGGGTCCTCCTGTGCTCATTGAGAAAACAGCCACTTTCCATGTGATCTGGTCTCTGTCCCAGGTGTGTGAGTATCCTGACGGCACCAAGTCCCTGAAGCTGGGCGACTTTGGGCTGGCCACCGTGGTGGAAGGCCCTTTGTACACAGTCTGCGGCACCCCAACCTACGTGGCTCCGGAGATCATTGCGGAAACCGGGTAGGAGTCCTGAGGCTGGGAATGGTGCTTGCAGCTTTGGTGAGGAAAGGTGTATTTTTGTGGCTACTGCTGTCAGGGTGGAGGGAGGGAAGAGGAGAGAGACTGCGACCTGAATAGGACTCAGCCTTGAGGAAGCAGAGTCTGTGCTCACAGCTCTGGGGCTGGACTTGGGGCCCCGAGAGGGATCTCACCAAGTCTGTGGTGAGGTGGGGACAAAAACCGATGCATTTGTCCACAGGACAACTGATTTCTCCGCATGAGCTGACAAACCCTTTGTCTAACAAAGTTAATGCTGCAGTAATGTGGACAGGCCTTGAAAGTTCCATGAATGCTCCTCTCCCACCTCTTTGCTTTCTAGCTATGGCCTGAAAGTGGACATTTGGGCAGCCGGCGTGATCACCTATATTCTGCTCTGTGGGTTCCCACCGTTCCGAAGGTCAGTGCCTTGGAATCAGTGTGTTTGAATTGTAAGCACGTGGCTTTACTCCTGATGGTTATAACCAGAAAAGGGCCAATTTAAGTGCCAGTTAGAGGTTCAACAAATACATTCTTATTACCTTAGCATGTCTTAATGTATATTCATTCATTGGAGCCAAGACTTGTATATGCTGTCAATGGTCATTGTTTCATAGACTAAACCTATGATACTGTTACTCCATTCCAGCTTTCATCTTTTTAAGCAGCAGTAAAGTTTAAGGGCTGGCATTGTGGCGTAGTGGGTGAAGCTGCCATCTGTGACACCAGCATCCCATATAGGCACCAATTTGTGTTCCAGCTGTTCCACTTCCAATTCAGCTCCCTGCTATGGCGCCTGGAAAAAACGTTGGAAGATAGCACAAATGCTTGGACAAGAGATCCAGACACAGTTCCTGGCTCCTGACTTCAGCCTGACCCAGCTCTGACTAACAGAACCATCTGAGAACCAGCAGATGGGCAGTTTGCCTCTCTGTCTCTCTGACTTTCCCTTTTTGTTTTGTCTGTAATTCTCTTACAAACCATTTTTTTTAAGATGCATCTATTTTTATTGGAAAGGGAGATCCACAGAGAGGAGAGACAAAGATCTTCCATCTACTGGTTTACTTCTCAAATGGCTGCAATGGCAGGAGCTGACCCAATCCAAAGCTAGGGGACAGACACTTCCTCTGGATCTTCATGTGGGTCCAGGGTCCCAAGGCCCGATCTTTTAAAGAGAGTATGGAATTGTATCATTAGAGATGAATGGATGGATGGATGGATGGATGGATGGATGGATAGATTGACTGATTTTTTTAAAAGCTGAATGTATCTTGACAACAGAATGCTGGACTCTCTGCCGTTGTCCATGCCCACAATGTTAGGACACACTTAAACAGCAGAATGATAGATTCGTGACTGATTATGAATGACTATACTATTGTAATAAGAAGGGGCAATTAGTGTAGGGCATGGGGACTTGGGGAGAGGGGAAGGAAATCCTGGAGCCTATGGAATAATAAAATAAACAAGAATATATCTTATACACAGTTTATAAAAGAAGAGTGACATTTAAAAAATCTGTGTGAAGCAGTCTGAATTGCTCGGAGTTTATCTTTTTCCAGTTTTGATACTCCTCTGGCTTCCTTTGTCAGCAGGACAATTATCATCATTGTCATTTTTTGAGAGGCACAGAGAGAGGTTGGTTTACTCTCCTGATGTCTGCAATGGCTGCATTTGGGCGGGGGACCTGGGTGTGCCATCTAGGTCTCCTGTGGGAACCCAGTTTGTTGAGCTATCAGTGGAATCTCCCAAAGTTGGTTAGTGTGGAGTTAGAGCCACCGCTGGAACTCAGGCATCTCCATGTGATATGCAATTATCTTAATCACAAAGCTACAAATGCCTGTCCCTCGCAGCAGTTATTTAAACTGTTAACAGGTCCTTTTGGCACGCAGGGTGTATCCCCTCAGGCAGGCTGGCTCCTGGTAGCCATACACTTCACATGGGAGGAGGCGGCTGCAGTGCAGGTGGTGGCTGCCATGTTTGGAGTGCACAGAGCACCTCAGGCCACCTTGCAGTTTGGGTCCCAAGATGAGTGAAGCCTTTGGACACGGCCCCTCTTGGGACTGGCTCATCTCTTCTTCTGGAGCAAATGGATCACTTTGAAGCAGAAGTCCATCTAGCCCTGCAGGTGTGAATTGCTTCTAAGTTTTGTCTAGCTTTCTTGTCATTTTAGCAACTTTTTGTGTTCCTTTTTGTTGAAGAGCCATCATTCCCAGGCCATGTTTTCTGAGTGCCAGGAACAAAGTGTTAAATCAAACACAATCCTAAGGCTACATTCTGATCAATCCTGATTAGGCTACAATGACAGCATACCTTGAAATGTGTGGCTTTTAGTAACAGAAGTTTACTTCTCATAGTCTGGAGTCTAAGGAGTCCCAAGATGAAGGTTCCAGCAGGTGCCTGAGATGCATCACCCTGTGGTAACCTCGTGTCGTGGAAGGGGCAGAGGAGACTTCCAGGGTCTGATCCCACAAGGTGTTGAGTCCTCATTGCTCTCCCCTGCAAGTGTCATCCTGTTGGGCATTAGGTTTCAGCACAGGAATTTGGGGGATAAGGCACCAATGTTAAGTCTGCTAAGTAAATACTAAATAAATCTCATTGATCAAATCAACTCTTGTGGCTAAGCCTGAAGCGAATGTGGGAGTGAATTGAACTATGCATGGAAGGAGGGAAGTAACTTATAGCTGTTTTAAAGTCTGGGCTCTGCTGGCTTCAGTGATGACCAGTTTGAGGAACTAGTGAAGTGCTGAAGGGTAGTGTATTCCTGGAACCCAGGCAGTCTGGTTGCCTTCCTTGGTTGACCCAAGTGGAGATGAGTAGGGAAAGAGCTCTGTGGATCACGTTTTGAGGACTGTGTGCTCACAACTCCCTCTAGTGTTCTCAGGCGCCAGTGCAGCCTGGGGAAGTGTGCATGTAAACGGAAGTGAAGCTCAGACAGAATAGATGGGACTTATCATTGGTATCCAGCGTGCACCAGGGGATGGAAATGTGAAAGAATGACTATTCAAAAATGGCAGAGACATCTCTGGAAGCTGATGCTGTCTAATGTTCTATTCAGAAAAGGTTCGTATGACTCCAGGTAAAGTTTAAGAGCGTGCTTCCCCTCTTTAGCGTCACATTGTGATGAACGAGAATCTGCAATGTTAACTATTAGCTGCAGAGACATCTTCACAGTCTACAGAAACACTGTGAGACGATACTCACTTATTCCCCAGAATGCCTGCAGCAGCCAAGACTGGGCTAGGCTAAAGCTGGAAGCCTGGAACTCAATTCATGTCTCCAACACGAGTGGCATGGACCCAGGTGCCCGAACCATCACCTGCTGACTTCCAGAGAAGCTGGGACCCAAACCCAGGCCCACCAACTTGGAATGTGAACGTCCCGTGGGAATGGTATTTTGAATGATGGTAACCTGAAATAATGAACCTACGTACATTGTACGTACAGTGAAAGCTTTTCAGGTGCCTGTTTTCTTTGATACAAAAGATGCTTTCAGAAGTTTTCAACTAAAATCAATAATGGGAATTTACTGTTTCAGCTAGCATTCCTGTAGCATTTCTCTTCCTTCCCACTTCCAGGATTTCCAGGTTTTCAGTTTAAATTATCATACATTCTCAACATCAAAGTCATCATTACTCAAATTCTTTTCAGGAACATCCTAAGTTTTAGTGGTTGTCTAAGCAATTCTGTTCTTAGGACCACCAGCAAGTTTTGTTTGTGAGGCTGTACTGAGGTTTTTGACATTTTTTATTTTTTATATTAATTATAAATTTCTTCCACATTTTGAGTATTTCTCTTAATATGCCGACATGTGCACACACACTCCTTGTAAGGGAAATGTTTTCAGTGTCATCATGAAATAGCTTATAACCATTTCCGGTTACCCTTATTGACCGTTAGTGGCTTGTCAGTAATGACTTTTGAGGCTCTTCGAAAGGGATGGTGGCAGACCTATGGCACCTTCGTTCAAGGGCTGTGTTGTTTTAGAGTGCAAAGGTGCCCTGCAGCACCTGACTACTAAGATGGACAAATTCTTTTTGGCTTTGTTCTTCCAGCGAGCATCCAGCACTCGCAGCTCCCAGCCTTAATCCTTTGGGACTCCATTATGCTTGCAGAGTCACCTCAGGCTTTTATTTGTTGGTTCAAGATCTTTTGCAAGAGCCAACTGCTGTAAATGACTGCTTCCAGGTACACGTTAATAAGTGTTTTACGTATTTTTTTAACCCAAGAAAATATATATGGACTAACAAAATGTAGGATTTGAGATTCTAGAAAAAACAAAGAGGAAATTAGGAGTGAAAGGGTTGACAGAAGCATAAAGTTCTGGAAACGGGGAATTTTTTATGTCTTCTATGTCTTTTGAGGTTCTCTCATTTTCTAAAGGTTTCTGTAGACTCTTCATTCTTAGCAGAGTGGAGTAGTACAGCATCTTGGGGTTGGCATTGTGGCGCAGCATGCTAAACTGTATCATCAGTGCTAAGTGGAGTCCTGGCTGGTCTCCTTGCAGTCCAGCTCCCAGAAGATGCTGCTCCAAGTACTTGAACCCCTGCCACCCATAGTGTAGACCTGGATGGAATTCCTAGCTTCTTCTTTTGGCCCTACCCAGCCCTGGCTGTCGCAGGCATCTGCAGAGAACCAGCAGGGGAACTCTTTCTCTCTGTATGTTCTCCCCGCCCCCCGCTGTTAGCATCTCCGTCATTGTGTTTTTCAAATAAATAACTAAATCTTAAAATAAGGAAATAAAGCATTGTGACATCTAGAAAACAATGTTGTGTGCCTCAAAGCAAACTACCTTTCTGGGGAGCAGAAGCTTGCCTTGCCTGGTTATCTACGCTGGTCTTTGCTTCTCTGGGATTTCTTGACCAGACCCCCTGGTGGTCACCTGCCCATCTGATTGGGCTGAGATAAATGACATAGAAATTCATCAAGTTCACAAATGCCACACTCAGCTCATAACAATACTGTCCTCCACCCCATGGGAGCTCCTTCAAGGTGTCCTTCACTGAGAGGCTTGGTATGAAACCCTGGGGCCTGTGTGTAGCAATTATAGGAAGTTCTGCACATTTGCCAGGTAATTCTTCTGGTTCAGGGATTTAGAAAAACATTTAGTTGGTGCATAGTAATTGTATGTCCAGAGGATACAGTGTTGGATTTCAGTATAGCTGTACAGTTTCCAAAACTCAGATTAAACCAAATGGTATCTCTGTTACTGCATACATTTTTTTAGTAAATATTTATTTTTATTGGAAATTCAGATATACAAAGAGGAGGAGAGACGGAGAGAAAGATCTTCCATCTGCTAGTTTACTCCCCAAGTGGCTGCAGTGGCCAGAGTTGAGCTAATACAGAGACAGGATCTTCTTCAGGTCTACCACATGGGTGCAGGGTCCCAGGGTTTGGACTGTCCTCTACTGCTTTTTCAGGCCACAGCAGGGGTCTGGATGGGAAGTGGGGCCACTGGGATACAAACCGGCACACATATGGGATCCCAGCACGTGCAGGGTGAGGATTTTAGCCACTAGGCTACCATGCTGAGCCCTACTTCATGCGTTTAAAGTGGCATTTGTCTTAATGATAATGTCTTCCATCTCCATCCATGTTGCTGCAAATGAAAGAACTTAATTCTTTTATAGCTTAAGAGCATTCCATTATATATAATATAGGATGACAATATATGTAATATAATATGTAAACTATATTAAAATTTATTTTTAACCTGCATATAATTGTGCAATATAAATATATTTACATATTAAAATCCCACATTTTCTTTATTCATTCATAAGTTGATGGATACTTAAAGTTGATTTCATATCTTGACTGGGGTAAACAGAGATATAAAAAGCATATGTAAGTACAGATAGTTCTTTTACATATTACTTTAATTTGTTTTGGATGCATATATGTGTGTGTGTGTGTGTGTGTATTTTTTTACTTTGACTCTAATAGTCCATTCTGAATTTTCTGTTGGGCATTATAATGGCCTGGAAAGATAGTAACATATTTTTACAAATTATTTTTATTGCTTTCCATGGTTCAGTTTTGTAGGTATAAGGATATCTCCCTTTCTTTCCCCTTTTCTCTCTCCCCATTTTCTGCTCAAACCATGTTCCCCATATCACTACAGTAGTATAGTCCTCCAGCAACAGTTACAAGTCTAACATTCTGGTATCAAGTGCATCATGGCATCGTAGGTACAGCAAGAGGCAGAAAGTCCAGCATCGCATTGTCAGGGAATATTTAACTGTTTCACTAAGAGTCCTCTTTTTATTCAGGAATAGAAATACCCACTGCAACATATTTCCACTTCTGGATATGCTAATCTCCATCGTACTGTACATCTATGAGAATATATGTATATACTTGTTTACCTGAATATTTATTTGTTTTGTATTTTTGCATGAATGATACCTTATATCAGAAAGAACACATAAAATTTGTCCTTTTGGGATTGGCTTATTTTGCTGAGCTGTCGGGGTCCCTTGGCCGGCAAGTCAAACCCAGACACTCATTGTCCTTGTGGAACCTTTATTGTAGAGATGACACAGCAAAACCTGTGCGCAGTGGCCACACAGCGGCCGCCACATCATGAGGCGCACAGCAGCAGCAGTAGCAGCAGCTACATCTTGGCGAGGCGCGCTCTCTCTCTCTCTCTCCCCCCTTTCCCGTTTCTCTGGCTCCCTTATATTGGGTAACTGGCCAATCAACGTAAAGGTCACCTCTGCACGCAGTGGGTAGGCCAATCCTCACACAGATCACGCGCTGTCCACAAGCCATCCACGCACCCCTGGGCCAATCACAGCAGACTTCCTGAGACTTGTTTTTTCTACCACAGCAGGAAGCAGCAGTTCAGCGCCCGTCTGTCTAGGGTGTGGGCTGCAGACTCCCTACAGCTCCCCACACTGAGCATCATGTTCTCTACTTGGGACCATTTTGTTACAAATGATAGAATTTCAACTTTTTTTAGTGGCTGAGTAGTATTCCATGGAGTAGATATACAAAAGTTTCTTTATCCATTCCTCTTTTGAGAGGTTTCTGGGTTGTTTCCATGTCTTCACTATTGTGCATTGTGCTGCTATAAATAGTTGCGTGTCACTTTCTCACAAGAGGATTTCACTTATTTGGGTATATTCCCAGGAGTTGGTCCTGTGGTAGACCAATTCTCAGTTGTCTGAGCAACCTTCCTACTCACTTCCATAATGGCTGCCCCAGCCTGCACTCCCGCCAGCAGTGAGTAGGGTACCTTTTCTCCTTCTGAAAGTGGAAGACTTTATTGCTCACTCAGGCTGTGGGTGAGTCCATCAGGTGAGGCCAGCACCGTGGCTGTGGAGAGGTGGTGCTAAGGGAGGTTGCGGCCACTCAGCATGTTGATATTTTTCCTCAGTAGTGTTTTCACATTTCCACAGTTGGATTTTGATTAAGCCACAAGGCCTCACCTGTGTATGCAGGTACACCTTTGAGGATGGGAGAGTCCTGCCGAGGTTGGAGAGGAATGCTCCATGGGAGCAGCCAGTGTGGGTTTGCCCCAACCTGTGCAATCTAGTTGGCATCCTTGGATGGGCTGTTTCTCGGACCAGATGGAGGTTCATGCTGATAGGATCATATCAGGAATATTTTATCCAAATGCCCCTTATGACTCTTCCAACTGTCTGCTATTTCACTGGAAATGTGGAGAGGGCCAGGGCAGCAGGTGGGAGTCAGGCTGGCAGAGTGTTCTGACTCATGTCTGACTGACATGAAAGATCGAAGACAGAAGCTGACTTTCTCCCCAGAAATGAGGATTGTCCTTGTTTGTAGGTTCCATATTTCCTGAGTTCTTCTTTATTGTGATTGGAACACAGAAAATCGACCATGTTAACCATTTCCGTGTGTACACTTCATTAACACTAAGTACATTCACATCAGAATTTCTCCCCTTCCCATACTGAAATTCTGCGTCCACTCAGTTTCTTGAACCATTGAATCCATCTCTAATTCCCAGGAATACAGACGTGTTCTGTGGCTTATCATCTGAAGGGAAGATTTGCCATCACAAATGCCATTGTCATATGAAATGCCAAACCAAAGGCGATGGGCTCCCCTCCACGCTTTTCCCAAAGTATTTTGTTGAAAATCTGTGTAGCCATTGTGACTTTTCTCCCCTTTCTTTATCTCTGACTTAGCGAGAACAATCTCCAGGAAGATCTCTTCGAGCAGATCTTGGCTGGCAAGCTGGAGTTTCCAGCGCCGTACTGGGATAACATCACAGACTCAGCCAAGGTACCTGTCCAGGCCCTGCTCCTGTGGGCTGTCACTCTGCCGTCCTTACCCCTCACGTGGGGCTGTAGCGGCCCTCAGCATTGCTGGCAGGAACTTCGTTGACTTTCACTGTGCAATTGTGTTTAAATATCTCCTGTGGTGTGCACTCTGAAGTTTATAACCTAAGCTAGACCTGAATAATTCCTTGAGCTATTCAAGGCATGTATACTGAACATCCATCAGAAAAGGAAAATGAACTCATGAGACTGAATTTTCCTAAAGTCAGGAAACTGAATTGCCAACAAGGAGAAACACTGAGGTGTTGATGTGGATGATGATCACGGTTCTTGGAGACTCGAGGAGAGTCCTTCTCTTCTTGCTTCTTGGCTGGGCTGTACGAATGCCTGGCAGGCATGAGGAATGTCAGGGATCACAGTTTTTAGGGTCCAGTGGCTAGGCAGCTATGTTGTCCATGTCTTTGAAATGCTTGCAGCAAACTCGGATTTCTGTATTTGTGTCAGAATTGACTTTGTCTTCTGTGGTATTGATTTGTTTACTTATTCCTAGGAACTGATCAGTCAGATGCTTCAGGTAAACGTTGAAGCTCGGTGTACTGCGGGACAAATCCTGAGTCACCCCTGGGTGTCAGTAAGTACCCATGCCTGTAGGGAATGATTGTATGTCCTGTGGCCGAAAAAATATGTCCTCCGGGTGGGCTCCGCACACGCGAAGTCCACAGCCAAGCTCTGTAGCAGGTGAAGTTCATGCCTTTTTTAGTGAGCAAGGAGAAAGCAGGTGGCAGCTGGGTCCCTGAGCCTGAGATCCTGCTCTGTAAGTAACTGGGTTCCTCTCTGGTGCTCAGTATCTCACCTATAAAGAGAAGGGAGAGAAGGGGTTGGCCACTGTGCTCTTCCAGCTGCCTTCCAGCTTTCCCCGCCTGGAGCTTTGAGAGTTTGAGAGTTTGCACCATTGCCCTGGAGATCAGCAGTTTCAGATTCTGATCTCCATGTGTTGGTGATGCAGGGTCCTAGGACATGTTTGCTAGAGATGCTGAGACCCGGTGCCTCCAAGATGCAGCCACAGGGGACATGAGGCTGAGCCAGATTTCTTCTGGGCTTAGATAATGCCTGTAAGTTTAGGGCAGCGTGATTCCCTGGGGCAGTTGATGTTTCCTTCATTTCTGGGAGAGTGAAGTGATTGAACTGAGGGCTGTTGTTGAGGTGAAGGAATTCCTGTGCACCTCCACGGCCCCACGCACTCTCACGTCCAGCTCTAGCCACAGTAGACCCATTCACTGCTCCCTCAGGCCAAAGGACTTGGCTCTCTATTAAGTGACTGGGATGCTGCAGAGAAGGAGGGAAAGAGAGAGAAGAGAGAGAAAGAAGGAATAGGAGAAGAGGGTATGGGGAGGAGGAGTGGCAAAGAGGATGAAAAAGAGAAACAGTAAGGTCCAATTTGCTGGTCCACTCCCCAGATGTCTACCGTGGCCTTCAGCTGGAGCCCAGGTCTGGAGCTAGGAGATGATCCGGTCTCCCACATGGGTGGCAGGAAGCCGGTTATGGGAGCAGTCACCACTGCTCCCCAGGTTAACAGGAAGCTGGAGTCAGGAGCTGGAGCTGGGTGTTGAACCTAGGTACTCCAGTGTGGAACTCAGACACCTTAACCTTATGGCTTTTGAAAGACATTTCCCCTATTCCTGGCGTTAAGATGGGCCCATGAAGGAACGGGCCAGGAGGTGGGCAGTGGCTACGGTAATGGAAATAATAAACTTGATGATCAAAATCATTGCATTTACTTCTTTTCTGTAGGATGATGCCTCCCAGGAGAATAACATGCAAGCTGAGGTAACAGGTAAACTAAAACAGCACTTTAATAATGCGCTCCCCAAACAGAACAGCACCACCACCGGGGTCTCCGTTATCATGGTAAGTGGAATGCGCAGCTCAACCTTGGGAAGTGGCAGAGTGTGGCTGGGTTGCTGAGCCAACTCTGAATGTTGAGACGTGGACAGCCAAGGGCTTCTCCTACATGGAACCTGCTTCCTTCCATGTTCCTCCTTTCACTGGAAGACTGGCTTGGCACGTGAAAGGCACACACATGGCCAAACTACCAGGCCTCAGCCACTGCAGATGGGAGCTGCATGAGTACCAACAAGGCTGGGCTCGTGAGCTGTGGTACCTAGGAGCTTCCAGGCTCTGGCTCTGCTCTCGCTGCTGTGCCATCTGGACAGAAACTCCCAACCCTAGCTGTGATATGTGCTAGAGCAACTCCCTGCCAGCTTAAGGCTTCCTGAAGAGATGAATGTTAAATCCTTACACGGGATACTCACATCTCATAGAAGGGATTCCAGGCGGCTTCAAACCCAGGCTCCTCTGCTTCGGCTCCGGATTTCTGCTCACGTACACCCTGGGAGAGGGCAGTGACGGTTGTGGTAGCGGGTTCCCACACCCCCCGTGAGGCCTGCCTTGCGTTCTGTGTTACTGGCTTGGTCCGGCCCAGCCCTGACAGTAGTGAGCGTAGGGAGTGAACCAACAGATGGAAGAGCGCTCTGTCCCTCTGCCTTTCAAAACAAATTAAAGAAAATGTAAAAATAAATATTAGTAAGGCATGAAGTATTCTTCAGCACTTTGGGTTAAAGAAATGAAATTTAAGTGAAAATTGTGTTTTATTTTAAAAAAAGAATGACAACTTTTGAAAGCGAAAAAATTCTCATTATTTGAAAAAAAATTCTCATTGTTAGTAAAATTGTATGAGAAGCCTGTAGTGATAATCACTATGTATTTTTTTAGATTCCTTTTGTCTAAAAATTTTTTCAAACTTTTAAGAATTATTTGAGAGGGAGATCGCTTCTGCCTATTGGTTTAGTTCCCAGAGCTGGACCTGGCTGTAGTTAACAGCCTGGAACCCCGGGTGGGTCCCCCACAGTTAGCAGGGACCCCAGAACTTGATATACCATGGCGCCTCCCAGGGTATGTATTGGTAGGAAGTTGGACTTCAGAGCAGAGCCAGGAATTGAACCTGGGTCCCTTTAACTTGGGATGTAGGCATTTCAACTGCTACACCAATCACCTGCCCCTGAAATTTCTTTCGGAGCTCCTGACTCTAACTGAAAGAAAATAAGAGCAGAGGAAATAAATTGGACCAGAAGTTGTATTTACACATCCTGGCCCAGCTTGTGCCCCACTTTTTTTACTGCCCAGGTACAAAGCAGCTCGCCTTGCAGGCAGTCAGCGCTGTGGGCTGTAGAGCAGTCACAGGAGGGGGCAGGCTTCCCTGAGCCTGAGAGGCAGCTGGGCAGTGTCAGAGGTGGAGCCTCCCAGGTGACAGGGACTTCAGGGCTGAGGGACACCGTCACTCCCAGGTCAGAACAGGCCTCTGGTTCTCTGGGAAAGGGTCTGTTCCCTGCCCAACTAGAGGTCGTTGTCTTGACATGTGGGCCATCTGGAAGCTGGAGGCTTCAGGCTTGCACAGGCCCTGTATGTGAGATGTTCTCTGCTCCACCTGCTGCACGCCCACCTGCTGCCCAGGGGCCCGTCATTCTCCTCCTTCCCCCGAGCAGAGGCTGTGCTTATTTGAAAGCCCCTGTGTGTTCCTACAAGCCCCTCTAGTCCCCAGTAGGAAGTGTGCTTTACAGAGCTTTGGAGGCCTCCATGATGGAGCCAAGGGAAGATTTCTTGAGTGGTGGTTTTTCTGGGCATTTTAGTGATGCTATGTTGAAAGTCTGAGGAAGATGGAGGAGGTAGAGCTTACCCCGAGGGGAAGCCATGGTGACAGCTGAGAGCATTCTCAGGTGATTCCCATGGCCGAGGCAGCGCTGATGGGTGGGACCCTAGTGTGCAGCTGCACAGGGCACCAGGCTGGGACACAATTCCTGGTTAGACTGAGAAAAGCACATGACCATGAAGCCCCAAGGCTCAGGAGAACTCAGTAACTCTGATGGGCATCATTGGCTGTGGTCACCCACTGATCTGGGGGTCTGGGTAGCATTTGGTGACCATCTCCTTGATGACCTGCTCTCCACTGAAGTTCCAGTGGTCTGCCAGCTTTCGTGTGGCCAGCATAGGCCAACTCCTAATGATGCCCATTGGGCAATACCTCAGTGGGTGGTTTATAGAGGACAGTCTTCCATTTGCTAATGAAGGCGTTCCGCAGCCCATGTCCAAACCCTGGGCTTCACCCAGGTGCTGTATGAACAAACACCTTCCCTCTGTTGCTGGTAACTGCAGTGGTGACTCTCTGTGTGTGTCCCCATGTGTGCCTGGGCTGTCGTGTTGTGCATGTTGACAGGGTCGCTGTGCTACTCGGAGTCCCCTACACAGCTCTGCACCTGGTTGCCTCTGAGGAGCTGTTAGCTGAACATGGGAAAAAAATCTGTTCAGTTGGCTTTGGGCAGGATCCACTCATTCTCCATAGCCAAGAAGCTGTCCCTGCCAAATCTGACATGTCCCCAAAAGTGGTGGGACAAGAGGGCCTCCCGTTCATGGGTGCCCTGCTCAGGACCTGGCCCGGGGCAGGGTTGTGTGGGGGAAACCTGGGATGCTTCACCATCGCCTTGTGTCTGTGTGGCCTGCCCTCAGCAACAGCTCCCAGTGTTGTTCCATTGACAATAAGAGGGACTGCCTGACGGGTTCCTGCAGACACAGTTGAGGGCGAAAGTCGTGGGCCAGCATGTGGAGCCAACTCCCAGGACAGGCGGTGGTGTGGAAGGGGCAGATAGGACACGGAAGCCTGCACTGCCAGCCTCTTGTGCCCCAGCGCTGCCCTCTGTCCATCAGGCAGGGAGTCCTGCCTGCGGCCACAGAGAGATAGAATTGCTTAGGACAGGAAGCCATAGCGTGAACCACAGGAAAGCTGACGTTGTTGTCTGCGCTTTGTTTGACAGTGGGACTTGGCAGTGTGAGCGCCACCTCAGAGCCTGTTCCTTGCCCTGTTGAGACAATGGCAGCCCCGTAGCAGCAGCTGGTACTCGCCCCCAGCGCCCCCTCCCCAACCCGGCCTCACAGCGTGCTTCCTCCCAGCACCTGCCCCCTCTGCCCACAGTGTACTCTCAGCCATCTCTCCCTCTCCCTCTTCTTCCTCTCTCTCTCTCTCTTTCTCTCTCATATTCTTGAACTAACCCTGCTCCACGCGACACCTCCCCTCCTAGGCCCAAAGTGTAGTGCCCAGAGAGGGAAAAGCAGCCTGGTGGGAAGGGCTGCCTGGGCCCTGGCTTCTGGTTCCCCAGGGTCTCCCCAGGGCTCAGAGTGCAGAGGTAGCTGCATGCCTGCTGCCAGCACCTTGGGGATCCCCTCCAGTGGCAGGGAAAGGGGCTGACATGGTGGGCCCACTCCTCTTTGGGGTGCTGAGTGGGGTTTTCTTGATTGGTTTACAACAAGACTGTTTGCACCTGTTGCTTCTGTTGAAAGTAAGCCGAGTTTCTGTCCCTGCTTCTCTCCCCCTCTCGCCTCCCCGCCGCCTGCATTGCCTCCCCTGACTAGGTCCAAGGCCATGGTACGTACCCACTGCACCACGCTGCGCCCTTGGCTGCACCTGCCGTAGTCCTGACCAGAGGAGAAAAGGAGAAATAACACGGAGGGTGCGGGGTGGTTGTGAGGGGACACTGTGCTGGCTGCCTCTGACGGGTGGGGGTGTGGCCTGGCCCGAGGCTGTTTGCTGTGGTCCCCACATATGCTGGTGTTAAGGTCGGGAGTCACTGGATGTTCTGCTTGAGTTGGGCAGGGCCTGTGGACAGCATCACATCATTTTGCAGGTGGCACCAAGTGCCCCGAATGGAGCTGTATGGGTGCCTGGCTGAGACCTGGGCTTGTTCCTGCCCTCTGCAGGCTCTGGGTGTTGGAAGACTCCTCAGAGCTTCCCACCAGCACGGTTGTGTCACACATGGGCCTGTAATAACCTTGGAGCTAGTCCAAGAACCGTCCCACAGCAGGAAAACCTACAGTGGCTGTAGGTTTCCCCAAATGTTGAAATACTCAGGCTGGGTCCAAGGGGGGAAGGATCAGGTCTGCCTTCTGATTTTAGGGTTAAAGCAAGGTGATTTTCCCATATTTTAAAAATGGAAGTTTACTTATGTATTTGAAAGGCTACAAAGAGCTGGGCTGGGAGGGAGGAGGAGAGGGAGAACAAAACCGCCCGTCTGCTGGTTTATTCCCCAAATACCCACAAGAGCCAGGACTGAGCCCGGCCAAGGCAAAGCCATGAACCCAGAGCTCGCCGCCCCCTGGGCCTCCAGAGGGGTGGCAGGGCCCTCAGTGCTTGGTCCCTCAGCAGCTGCTTTCCCAGGTGCAGTAGCAGGGAGAGGGATTGAAAGCATGGAATATCTGGGACTCAGTCCCAGACATTGCCATAGGGGAGGCTGGCATTCTAAGCCACAGCCTAACCGGCTGTGCCACCACACTGGCCCCTTGCCCACATTTTTGTGGCTTTTGGCTGAAGTGATGGAGCAGGTCACCTGGGTGCAGCCTGACAAGATGATGCCCCCTCCCCACTCCCAAGAGCACATGAGGAGATGAGGGCAGATCTGGAAAGCAGATAAAATTGCTCCTTTAGCTTCCAGGGCCTGCCACGTATCACCCAGGGTGGGTGGGAGGCTGTAAGGGGTTGCTCATTCCTGTCAGAAGAATAGCCAACTCTGGGAGCCTGTGGTGTGGCCTGCGGGTTAAGCCACAGTTTGCAGTGCCAGCATCCCAAATCGGAGCACCTGTTTGAATCCCAGCTGCCCCCTTTTGATCCAGCTCCCTGCTAATGCCCCCTGGGGAAGCAGCAGAGGATGGCCCAAGTGCTTGGGACTCTGACACTCATGTAGGAGCTCTAGATAAAGTTTTTGGTCCCTGGCTTGGGACTGTGATGTGACTGAGGTGGACGTTTGAGAGTGAACCAGCAGATGGAAGCTTTCTCTCTTCTTTCTCAACATCAATCAATCAATGGATTTTTCTTTTTTTTTTCATTAAACTGGAGACCCAGCCCCCTCCTAGGATTTGCTGATTTGTGTCTCCTATTCTTTGACCCTTGAGGTCTGGCCGAAGGCAGGAGCAGTGAGCAGTCAGGTGCCCAGACTGGCAGAGGAAGCCAGCACTGAGTTGAACTTCCGCTGAGCCACCAGCTGGTGGCAGGGGCAGAGGCAGAGCTGTCCCCAAAGGGTTGGGTTCCCTAATCCATTGCTTCCCCTGCCGGCTTCTCTCTGTGGGAGGCTGCTCGTTATTTCTCCTCTTCTGTCTCTGAGTCCCATGCATGCTCTGCCGTACTCTCTGCTCGTGGTGGCTGGGATGGAGCCTGCGCCATGGTAACGCAGCCTCTTGTGTTGCTTTCCCCCTACAGAACACGGCTCTAGATAAGGAGGGGCAGATTTTCGGCAGCAAGCACTTGTGTCAAGAGAGCGGCAGCAGCGGCAGACCTGGGCCGGAGCAGGTCTCTCCGACCCGCTCCTCGGCCGAGCAGCCCTCAGTGTCCGGAGCGGCAGCCCCGGCCCCTGCGCCATCGCCGGCCGCTGCGGGCTGTGAGCGGGCAGGGACCTGGCGTCGCCATCGAGACTGAGGCTTGGCCAGGAAGCCGCCTTCCCCCTCGCTGCGGGAGCCTTGCCCTCCTGGCCGCCGGCTGGTCCGTCTGCTGGCACTGGCTGCTGCCCTCTCTGCCCGGAAGGCCTGCCGTGCCCCTGTGGCACGGTGTCTTCAGCCGCAAATCCTAGGAGGGGCTCGTTCTAAAACCTCTGCGTGTCACATCACTGGACGTCGCGCAGCCTCGCCGGGACAGCGTGCGCCTTGCATCCCGCACTGACTGCGTTTTTATAGAACTCTTGTGGGTGAGCCCAGACTCTCTCATATTGAAGGAAACGGGGTGCGCGCTGTGGTCACACAAAGGACTTGGAATTGTGTGCTGCTGCCCTGCCTCTGCAGTGGGATTCTGGCTGTGGGTCGGGGGAAGGGCACGTCCGAGGCCAGGCCCTGCAGAGGAGCGCACGGTCATCTCACCTGCGACCACACTGGGTGTTTATTTGGGCACAGCCCACAGGATGAGGTCACCACTTTGCCAGGCATCTCCCCCCACGCGCTGGTCAGGCTGCCCGCGGGGCTTTAATGAAAGGCTGGGGGCAGGGGCAGCTATTGCTTTCCAGCTTTTCCTCCCAGTTGCTCTCAGCCTGGAGCGGGGGCGGAAACCAGAGGCAGCTCAGCCAGCCCGGGCTGGGCCGGGAAGGTGCTCCTCGGACCTCCTCGGTCAACCTTCTGGAAGGCTGCTGGCAGCTTTTCCTGTTTGCCCACCACCCTGCTCTTTTTAATAACTGTACATACCCCGTGCATTTGTTTCCCCTGCTCACCTCCTTACCCCGTGGGTCCTGTCGCTCATCCTCATTGTTAGATTTTGCCCTCGATGAGTGTACCCAACCTGCAATAAACTCTTCCCTCTTGCAAAAAAAAAAAAAAAAATCAAAACAGTCCAAGATAGCAGACGTTTCTGTGTGGTGGTTTTGCACAGCACGTGCAACTGGCAGTTGCCACTGTTTGGGGCTGTCTGGGAGATGGGGGCAGCTTGAGAAACACACATAAAACCTGTCTTGGTTTCAGTTTGACTGCAGGTGCAGACACGCGCACCAGGAGCACGGGGCTCGGCCCCAGAGGGGTCCTGACAGAACAACCATGTAAGCTCAGGCCTGCAGGAAACGGGGCCTCAGCAACTCCCCCGGCTCCGCGTCTGTCTCGCTCCCTCTCTGTTTGTGGGTCTGCTGTCTGCCTTTCTCGCTGCCTTAAAAGCCAGTCTTCTCTTACTCCCTCCTGCCGTCCGTCCGTCCAACCGCCCGCCTATGGCTCAGGCTGCCCGGGTGCAGAACCCCATTTTCCACTTCCTTGGGGCTTTGCCACCTCCTTGCCCGGTCACAGAGAGTTAGCACGCCAGTGCCCTGGGCCCGCAGCGTGGCAGCGAGCACCTGCAGGAGGAAGACATTCCCACGGGTGCTGCGCTGCACACTGCTTGGTGTCCTCAGCTACAAAGGTTTGTGCAAAGGGGGGTTTCAGACGTATACAGTCTAAAGGAAGTTCACTGAGAATACGAAACTGCCTGATGGCAGTGTTCTTTGCCTCACAACAACCCTAGATTTTGACACCATGTTTCCATGCAGTCTTTGACGTCCCCATGTAAAAGGAACTATGCCATAGGAGGGGGTGACTTAACTTGAGCCCCAGGCCAGTGACAGTGCCTGCCCACTTAGCCATGCCCCGTGGCAGGAGAGTAGCAGTCATACCGCTCTGGCTGCGGGGAGGACTGGAGGACCTCTGGCCCTGGAGCCCGGTGAGCCAGGCGGAGTCAGGCTGGGGCTGTGTGCGGGCTTGTGGGAGCTGGGACTTGATGCTGCTGGTGCCTAAGACAGGGGCTCCAGTGACTGGGCGGAGGTCAGAGATGCCTGGAGAGGGAAGGCTTGTGCATGTCTGACTAGGTGGAGGGCAGGGCTGGTAGGGCTAAGAAGGGGACAGATTTTCTATCCCTGACCAAGTGGTAGATCGTCAAGGACACTGATCAGAAGCCTGAGTGCTCTGTGGTCATTTACACTGAGGAGAGGTTTCTGTGAAGGGAGGCTGCTACATGTGACTTTGATGGTCTTGACCGGGAGGTTTTAAGGCGCTTTTCTTGCATGTAAACCAAAGCCTCAGGCTCAGCGACCGCCAGGGAAAGGTCTTGCCTCCCAAGAAAGAAAAGGGCAGGTTGGAATGGAGTCTGTCTTTCTCCCCTTTTCCAAACACCTGCCCCTTGGGCAAGCCTCAGGCCCCACCCATGGGCTCTGTTGGTGACGTCCTGCAGGCTGGGCCTCGGGCTGGCAACAGGCAAGGCTGGGGCTGAGGTCAGGGCAGGCAAGCATCTTCCTTGGGCTCCAGTGAAAGCAGCAAAGCCTCCAGCTTCTCACAGCTGGCTCTGAGGGGGAAAGACCGCTTGTCCCACCCCGCAATGTCTGGGGAAGAAAAAAGTACTCCCAAACTTTGGACAGCCAGATTAATTCACTTTGTGTTTCTGGCTGGGATTGTTGGAATTCACAGGAGCACGTGCGGTTTACCTTCTCCGCTCACTGGAGGCGCCTGCCCGTCTCAAGGAAAGAGCTTGCCTGCAGCCCCTGTCCAAATTGGCAAGCGAGGTGTGCCTCAGTCTGGCAGCCCGTCAGGCTTGCAGCCAGGGTGGGGGTTCGGGGCTGGGTCAGTGGCTGTAATGGCGGCCTGAGTTCTTCAGTGGAGATCTGATTGCACAGTTGTCATGGACTCAACTTTCAAGTCAAGAAGAATCCCAAAGCCAGTCCTTGCACTCCTCTGAGAGGGACTTTTGTCTGCTGTTTTCCAGTGTCTTCTTTCTTACAGGGAGGAAGTTTTGAAACTTCCCGGTTGTTTCCCTGCCATGGTAACCTCTGATTTCTACAGCATTGCATTGTGTATCACAAAAACAAAAGGTGGGTAGGGAGGCTGGTGGCTTTCTAAGGGAGCAGAAAAGGACTGCCTTCCACCGGCGCAGGGCAGAAATGGCCAATGGCAGGTACCTAGCATAGGTATTTGTTCCTGTATATTTATTTGGAGGTGAAATGTCTCCGTGAAGCTGCCTTGGTCTCCGGTGCTTGGCTGGGAGGTTCCAGGGCTGGCTGCTGATTGCCGATCTAACATTCTGCAACTGGCAGGGGCTTGGGGTGCTGCCGGGTGTGTTCAGTGCAGGAACTCTGCTGCTTATGCTGCAAGGACTCAGTCAGCATGACTGGTCTGCTGGGTCCTTCAGCACGGATGGGAAAGGGGCCGGACGGATGGAGCGCGAAGGGCCAAAGCAGAATAGCCATGCACTTTGGATGTGAGAGCCAAAACACAGAAAAAAACCTCGTCTTGGTGGAGATAAATGGGCGCATGCAGGCTAATCCAGTTATGGTTAGTGACAAGGGCAGAGTGGGCAGTATGGCAGGAGTCCAGGTCACCTGTCACCCTGGCTCATGACCACTGCTGTGTGACCGCCAGCAGAGTAGGAGCCATGGTCACTAGTGTGTGTGGTCAGAGCTCGGACCCTCGGAGGTCTGGCCCTGCTCTTGGAGCTGGATGCTTAGGGAAAAACTGAGGTGTTATTCTTCTTCAATGGGTAAAATTGACTTTTTAAATTAATTTTTGCAACTTTTTACATTTGGTGTTTTTTGGGGAATGATCTACTTATTCAAGAGTGAGCTTCCGCCAGCTTTATCATGTTTCAAATTTCTGTACCCTTTGTTTTCTACGCCTTCTTGCTTGCCCGCGGAGAGCCAGTGGTCTTTTTGAAACAGCAGACTTGTAAATGCTTGATTGGTCACATGTAGCAGGAATCGACATGTAAAGGAGGAACAGGACTTACTGGGGCAGTGCATTTTGAAACCCGCCTTACATCACAGCGTGTACACACACACACACACACACACACCCCTGACACGTGCGTTGTGGTCCTGCCCCATGTGGGCCATTTTGTTGCATTGTCAACCACCTCTACTTTACCTTCTTATTATTCACGAATTGACTGACATCTAGTTGCAGTCATGGCGGAGATTTTTAGGGAGCCAGGACTGGTAAGTGCTGCTTCCCGCAGTATCTTACAGACACTTCACAGAGCTGCCTGGGGAGCAGCCCTCGTGGAAGCCAGCTGGACTTCTCTCCGCAGGACATGCTGGAAGTTCAGTTAGGCAGCCGCAGTGCTACAAGTCTTCCAAGACGGTGGAGCTTCGTCCCTCCTGCTCAGGCTCTGAGAGGAAGCTGCCTTCGTAGACTCCCTAGAGGCTCGACAGGGCAGCGAAGTATTCTGTCTATGACTTCAGTGTTCCCAGTTTTCTTCTCTTTTTCCTCAAAGTTCCCAAGTGTAATATTTACATGTTGGGTCTGTTGCTGTGGTATGGTGCATTAAGTGACTATCACCGCATCTCATAAGGGTGCTGGTTCAAGTCCTGGTTGATCCACTTCCCAGCTCTCTGCTGGGAGAGCAGTGGAGGATGGCTCAACTCTGGGCCCCTGGACCCATGTGAGAATTCCAGGAAAAGTTCCTGGCTCCTGGCTGCAGCCCGGCTCAGCCCTGTGCCCAGTTGGGAAGTTGAACCAACAGATGGAAGATCGTTTCTTTTTCTTTTTCTCTCTTTTATTTATATCTATTTATATCTGTTTGTACGTCAGTGCCAGCGAGGATTACAAAGAACATGGTATTTCTTTGATCCTAAACTGTGCTTTCCTTTGCCTGTATTCTGTCGTTCTTGCCTGGCGGGCTCTGAGGTCAGAGTGGAGCATGCAGATGCATGAAGCCCTGTGTCCCGTCTCTCAAGAGACTCAATCTGAGGCCGTCCCAGTATCAGGGGCTGCCTAGCTGCCAAGAGAGCCTGTTTGCAGCCATTAATTAACCAAAGCCTGAGCAAAGCTGACGGAATCAAAGTTCAGCACTTTTTGTGCAAATGATTGTTCTTAATTGGTGCTTAAAAATCAGAAATGAGAGATGGCTCGATTTCTCTGTAAAGTCAATTGTTCATTCCAAATCTGTGGGAGAAGAACTGAATGTGCAGTGGTGAGCCGCACGGGAAAAGGAAGAGGCCCATGTCCACTCAAGGATCACAACATACAAAGAGTTTATTTATGCAGTACAGACCTTTTCTCAAATGTTTTTTCACAGAATTCCATACAGCAGTCTACTAGAAAAGTAGAAGTATACAACACCAAAATAACATTGTTTCTTAGTACAAATCGCTAATCAAAAAGAAGGTGGAGAGAGTTCAGTAACAAAGAGAAGATAAAACAGGTGTTGCTTACCACAGCACCTGGTGGCCCTCGGTTCTGGAATCTGGGACTAGGGGGTGGGGGACGGGGGACCCTGCTGTGGTTGTGTCTCCTTGCACAGCCAGACCTTGGGGGGAGCTTTGGTACTTGGATTTACTTGAAAGAAGAATGAAGTTTGTGAGCCCAGGAGCCTCTCCCTCGTGTCACCGTGCTGTGTGATGGAGGCGGCAGATCAGGAAACCAAAAGGTAAGTAGCTCACGCTTGCTCTGAGGATCCGTTAGGTTAAACAAAAGTCTCTCCAAATCATAATTATTTTTATGTCTAAAACATGCTTAAAGAATAATATTGACAGAAATAATTCACTGAAATGCCTTAAATTACATTAACCATAATTTAAACATTCCTATGTAAATCCCAGGAATTTCAGCGCTGAAGAAGCACAATTTGGAGAAAAAAATACAGGACCCAAAAGCACAGCCTCAGATTCCCCAACCCCTCATTACAGCCCATTTCCCATGTCAGAGCATGGGATTCTCACGGTTACAGATGACTGGGAAGGGTTTTTTTTTTCATAATAGAGCTAGAATAAGTGGGGTTTGCTCACTCCACTCTAAGTTTCCATAATTGGTGAAAATAGACTTCTTATGACTAAAAATATAGATTTTTTTAAACTACAGAACCCAGCAGCCCGTTTTCTTCTTTGCTCTCCTCCCCACCCCACCCCCAATGTCAAGCAAAGTCTACAAAAATAGCAATTGACATTAAAAAATATTTTGCTGCTTCGAGCAAATTTAAGTTACATTCAGATGTGATTGCTGTTTCTGCAGGACACTGCCCGGGCACCTCCCCGCCCAGCTGTGGGGCGGCCCAGGGCATAGCTGTCACCCTCAGTAGCGGGTCTGGTACTCATGATGCCAGCGGTTGAAGTCGTTGTAAAACAGAACGATGCTGCCGGAAGCCATGCCGGAAATGATGCACCTGGGAAGACAGAGCAGGGGCGGGTTGACAGGTCTGTGGTTCCCGCGGGTCCACACCCCAAGTTCCAGCTAATACAGAAGGTAGCAGTCAGCCTGCGCTTAAAACTCAGGTGGGCTTTCTCCTGGGATCGCACACAATTTTGCACCCAAATTTACGAGAACAGGGTGATTAAAAATCCTCTCCTGGCTGTTCCAAGAGACACAGTGCAATTATTGTGAACTGTGGCCACCCCTGCTGTGCCACCTCCAGAATCAGTTCTACCTCCGACTTGGATGAGATGAGCTGGTTGAGAACCCACGTAGGAGATGGTGTCCAATTTGTGTGGCTGGCTTATTTCACTGAACATAGTACTCTCTGGGTTCATCTGTGTGGTTGGAAACTAGAGGATTTCACCATCTCATGAAGCGATGTTACTACATTACAGATACAGACCATGTTTTCCTCATTCCTTTGGCGACAGACACTTAGCTCGAGTCCCTGTCATGGCTGTTGTGACTGGTGCTGCAGGACGTGGGACTGCAGGCATCCTGCGGACAGACCTCTTGTCCTTTGGCTGTAGACCCACTGGTGGGTTGCCACATCACGTGGCTGTTAGCCTCTCACTTCGTTTGGAAGGTTATTAATTTATGCTGAACATATTGCAAGTGATATGGAATGCATATATTTTTCAAAAGCACAAATTCAGAAAACTGACGTAGAAAAACAATTTAAATGGCTCCATATGTATTTACCCTCCCTCTACTGAGATAACTGAAAGCCAGCTTGTTTTCATGGGTGAATTCTATGAAACATTTAAAAAAGAAATGGTGTGATTTAATATGTTCTTTCAGGAAAGAGATCAAAAGCTTCCTCACTTCCAGAGAACAAGACCTATTGATACCAGAAAGAGGTTGCAGGACTACAGGCTTACATGAAAGAGGTAAACAAACAAACAAAAAACCTCTTAGCCAGTCAAATCCAGGGGAAAAGTTGAAATAAAGCACAAATTATTAAGTATTTCTTCTCCTTTCTCCCTCCCTGGCCTCCCACAGCCTAAGTTACTGTGTCTTTGCCCTGTTCAGCCATCTTGGAACACCAGTTTCTTTTTGATGACTAAAGTGAGCCCCAAGTAGATTGAAGCTACACTTAACTGAGACGGCAGCTGTGTGCAGGCTGAATTACGGTAACCTGGTCATTTCGAGTAGGGCTGGGCTGGTGGGACCTGTCCTTTAAGCAGCAGGTCCAAAGAGAGAGACCACCAACTCAAACAGTCCCTGCAGGAAGCAGCTCATGGTAACAGAGGCCTCACCTTAACGCAAGGAATGTCGGCCAGCATTCTGGGTCTCCTCTGCAGAGAAAGCTTTGGTGCCCGTCAGGCTTTGGGGTGTCCCCCAGCACTGGGACTCAGAAGAACGACCACTGAGACGAGCCGCTGCTCTCCTGTGCCCAAGAACAGAGGGCCGGCAGGCTGGCTGCAGCTGCCTTCCACCTCCAAGGCGGAGACTGGTGTTTCAGATCTCGCTCTGAGTGGTTGGCTTAGGACCCAGTCCTTTGAGGTCATAGTCCATATCTTCCCTAGTAGTTTGTATCAGAACCAGAAATTAAAACCTCACCATGAAAAGTCAGACACGAAACAAAGTGGTCATGAAGCAAGGCGGGCATTTGAGGCAGTGATGGAGCCGCTGCCTGCAATGCTTGAGCCCGTGGCTGCCTGCCTGCTTCCTGTCCAGGCTCCTCCGCTTTGACCCAGCTTCCTGCAGGTGCACACTCTGAGAGGGAGGCAGAGGATGCTGGCTTAGGTCTTTGAGTTCCTGCTACCCGGATGAGAGGCCTGGCTGGCCTGCCCTGCTGGCTTTGGCCTACTCCAGCCGAGTGTTGCAGGCATGCAGGGAATGAATCAGTGGGTGGAAAAGCTTTCACTCATTCTTTCTGCCTTTCAAATAAGACAGGAAAATGAATGTAAACTTCTTTTTGAAAAGCCTAAATCAAGTGGAAAAAAAACAAATAGCAAAGTGCCCAAGATCAGCCTTATGGTCAGCTACTTTAAATGTAATGAGGAAGCCAGAGATTGGCAGAGTGAATTTAAAAAATAGGAGTAATTCTGTGTCTAACAGACACACTTGAGGGCTATCACTGTGGGGCATGGGCTAAAGCTGTTGCTTGGTAAGCTAGAAACCCATAATGGCATGTTTATACACCTCCAGGCTGCTCTGCTTCTGATCAGCTTCTGCTAATGTGCCTGTGACCCTGCCATCCACAAGGGAGATGAGGATGAGTTCCTGGCTCAGACCTGGCTGGGCCATTTGGGGAGTGAACCAGCTGTTGGACAACTCATATTCATTCATTTGTTCTCATATAAATAGTTAATATATATAAGGTGAATCATTTTATATTAAGACTTAGTAGATTAAAAGTTAAAGGATGGAGAGCCAACTTCATGGCATAATACATTCAACTGCAGCCCACAATTCTGGCATCCCCTATTGGCACCAGGTCAAATTCCAGCTACTCCACTTCCAGTCATACTCCCTGCTAATGTGTCTGGGTAAATAAGAGGAGCAGGCCCCTCTCTAGATCTATTTATAGATGTATATAGATGGAATAGCCTGTCTTTCAAATAAACACTGGAAAATATATCCCAGGCCAATAGTAACAGAAGGTCAAGGTGGCCGTGGCAATATCAGACAAAACCGTGAGTCAAGAAATTGTAGCAGGGCACAGGACACCATATATATTGAAAAAAGGGTCACTTATCAAGAAAATACCATTATACTCATTAAATATGAGAGCCTCTAGACATATGGAGCAATGAGTGAAATTAAAGGGAAAAACAATTCTATGAAACAGACCAGTTTTCAAGACTAGGTAGGAGGACAAGATGGAGGAGAGATATGGATATAAAGTATGTGAACAATCTGCAAGTTAATTAGACCTGACACAGATATACAGAACACCCATCCAACAACAAAACAATTATTCATTTTTCTGAAGTGCATATGAAACCTAGGATAAATCATTTGTTAGACTACAAAAGAAGCCTTCATTTAGAAAGACTGAAATCACTCCATCACAACAGAATGAACTAGAAATCAGTAACAGAAGGAAAATTCATAAATGCACAAATATGCAGAAATTGAATAATGGATGAAAGAAATCACTAAAAATACCCTAACAAATGAAAAAAAAGTAACATGCTAAATCTTACAGGATGCAGCAAAAGTACACACTAAAAAAAAACAGCTCAGCAACCTGGCTTTATAGCTTAAGGAACTAGAAAACGAAGCAAACTAAATCCAAATCTTGCAAAAAGAAAGCCAAGGGTAGAGATTTTCAGTAAAACAACATAGAAAAAAACCAAAACCCATATTGGCTCTTGGGGAAAAGAAACAGAACTGACAAACCTTTCCTGCACTAATAAAGATAACCTGTAAATTCACAGCACAGATAGGACCGATTTTGCAGAAATAACAAGGACATATTAGGAATGCCAACAAACTGGATACCTCTATGAGATGCAAAATTTTTTTTAGAAGCAACATACTAAATCATGGAGAAATAGAAAATCTGAATAGACCTACAACAGGGAGATTGAATCAGTAATCAAAAACCTTCCCCTCTCCCCCAGGGAGCCCGGGCCAGATGGCTTCGGTACTGGAGTCAACCTACTATTTGAACGACTAGAGCGATGCTTCTCAAGTGCTTGCACAAGACCGAAGAACAGGGAACACTGCTAACTCGCCGAATGAAAAGACACCACTAAAAAGCATTGCAGACCAGTTCCCCACACGAATATGCATTCAAAACAAACTAACAAATCACATTTCATGTATCATGTGGTGTCTACCATTGGAATCCAAATATAGTTTTACTTGCAAAAATCATAACAATATGTATGTGTATATATATGTATGTATGTATATATATGACAATGAATTCACATGACCATCTCAATTCAGAAAAGGCATCCAAAATATTTAACATTCCTTCATTACAAAAACACTCAAACAGGCAATGGAAAGAAACTACCTCCAATGATAACATTTCTCAAAAACCCAGAGCTAGCACGCTGGATGGTGACCAACCGAAAGCTGTGTCCCTCAGGTCATGAACAAGCAAGGATGCCCACCTTCACCTTTCACTCAGCACAGCACTGAGGTCCTAGACAGAACAGTGAGGGCAGGCAGCAAAACGAAGAGGCATCCTATTGGCAAGAAGTTGTCTCTGTCCCCTGATGAACATGACCTTACATGCAGGAAATCCTAGAGTCTACCACAAAACAAAAACCCTGACCCTACCAGCTAATAAGCATATCCAGCAAACCTGAGGACATGTTATTGCATTTTTTGTATCTTAACAATGTTATGAATAATTCTATTTACATTGGCATTCAAAAGAATAACTTTTAGAATAAATGTAACCATCATTTCTCGGCCTTTTGGCTAAGAGCAAGTGTAGAATAAATGTAACCAAACAGACAAAATGCTTGTTTACTGAAAACTGTAAAACACTGCCGAAAGAAAGCAGACATTAAATAAATGCAAAAACCCGCCTTGGTTGTGAATTGGAAGACTTCCTATAACTGTCAGCTATTCAAAGGTAGTCACAGCTTTAACAGAGTCTCTTTCAAAATCCCAGTGATGTTTTCTGCCGAACTTAGAGAGTTCTAACGTGAAATCTCAGGGGACCCCAAATAGCCAGAACAATCCTGAGAAAGAACAGACTGGGAGGTCTCCCAATGCCCAGTTGTGAAAGTTACTACGAAGCTATAGTAATTAAAGTAGTGCAGCGCTGGCCTAAACAGAGAACAGAGTAAAGTTTAGAGAGAAGTTGATAGCATGCTCATATTGTTCAATGGGGAAACTACTGCCTTCCTGACAAATGCTGCCCAGAAACCTTGTAAGCCACATGCAAGACAATGAAGTTGGACACTCAGCCACCAGCACATACAAAAATGAGCTCCAAAAGCATCACAAACCTAAACTAAGCAACTCTTAGGAGGAAGCATGGGAGGCAATCTTGATGACACTAAAAACGCAGGCCAACAAAGGGAAACAAGCTGGATTTCGTGCATCTAAGGATACTGGGAAGACAGTGAAACGGTGTTACTAGGGGAGAGTGCATCCAGACCAATGAGAGACCATACTGTACAGATTAAAACAGCCATTATTAAAAACAAATCAGACTAACAAATTGTTAGTCACTGTGGAAAAATCAGAACGCTTGGTATTGCTGGGAGGAGTCTGAAATGGTGCGGCTACCATGGAAAACAGTCCCCAATTCCTTAAAAACATTGAACTTGGAATTGCTGTATGGACTGGCATTTTCACCCTAGGGTGTGTATATCCACTAGAAATGCACGCCCATGTTTGCAGCAGCATTATTCACAAGATGGAAACAATTCCTGTGTCCATGGAGAGAGATGAATAATGCAGACAGTCTGCCCACCCAGTGGAACATAATTTAGTCTTAAAAAGGAATCAGATTTGGATACATGACACGGTGTGGATGAACCCTGGAGACTGTATGCTAAGTGAAATAAGCGAGGCCAGTTGATAGTGTGTAATTGGAGCCTTTGCTACTTAAACCTTGTCTGTGCTTTGAGAATCAGGTTTATGTCCAAGAATGCAGACACTTACCTTGAAATGTGTGGGTCACACAGGTGACCACAGGCAACCCAGCTCAACCATCCCAGCCCTTGCATTTAATGAAATTCCCTCTGTGGTTTGTAGTGTCACTGTTAGTACCCTGTAATCCCTGCGTTACCTCTGGTCGTAGGACAGAGCCATGGCCCGGATACCAGCGTCGCAGCCTGGATAGGCAAAGAGCTGCTTGAGGTCAGACACTTGCCAGACCACAACCACGCCGTGGTCTCCCCCGGTGAGCAGGTACTGCCCGTCGCGGCTCAGCTGCATGGCCTGTGGGACACAGAGACACTCGGTAAAGATTAGTCACTCTACAAACACTTCAACCTCCACTAGGCGTCTCATTCTGCTAGTTACCATGGCACACACAAGACAGCCACAAGGAGAAATCCTTAAAGGTTTCTTTGTTTTTGCTTGTTTTTCAAAAACTACGAACTATAAGAGCTGTATCTTTTTTTTTTTTTTTTAACTTAGGCCTAAGGATGAAGTGGCGAGTTCTTCCTGTTCTGCCAATGCTTACTGGATGGCGCATGCTGCAGACGGGGGGGCCCCCCTCCCTCTGTTGGATCCTGCAGAGTGTACTTGTCCCACTTGGCATGCCCGAGCTTGGTGACTAGTGCTAGTTGGCCACATCCCTCTGCAGCAGTGCTGCCTGTGCCACTCTGGCCACAAGGGAGGCGTCCTGCCGGCAGCCCTGGCACCTGCAGGAGTCCAGCTGGTCTCGGCGGAGAGCTGCCAGGCTTCAGGGCCAACCGGCCTGCGGAGGCAGTGTTTTCAGGCTCTGACATGGACACTGCTCCCATGCCTAGGCCCTTGGTCACAAGGCCAGGCTGTACCACCCACACGCCTGCCCTGCCCAGCCCTGCCAGTGAGGAGCACGTGGCGTACCCTCAGAAGTGGAAGCCTGGGGACAAAATGAACCCCTCGTCTGTCTGAAGAACATCTCTGCACGTGCTAATGGCTGTAGAAACAGAACCTTTTATGATTCATGTGCATTCTAGGATTTGCAGAACGCAAGGCTGCTCAGTGAGGCTCCATCAGCACACGGCCGGGCAGTGGTCGGTGTTGCTCCCAACGCCTCAGGGGACCTGGGCCACACAGCCCGACGAATCACTGCTCTCCACAGAAAGCGCACTGTCTCCCTGGCTCCTCTACCCGAGGGCCACTCCTACGATTCTTCCTGCTCCCCCAACCCCTTCCCTCCAGATCTCCTCGTCCCAACTTCTTGAGGTTTGCATCTGCTTTTTTTGGCTGGGTGGCATCAGGATTCCTAACAGTCACTGCAGACACCTGTACTCACGGTCACGTGGGGAATACAGATTATGCTAGCAGGAAAGAAAATACTTTAATAACTGAAAAATATACTTCCATTATTCTGCATGGAGTTTTAGTATGGGTGCGTTAGGTGCACAATCTACCCCTTTTAAAAATGATTAAAGCAGAGAAAAGGACCAGGACCAGCACGGTGGGACAGCAAGTTAGGCTGCTACCTACAATGCCGGCATCCCCTGCAGTGACAGTCCGGCTGCTCAGCAGCTGATCTAGCTCCCTGCTGGAGTACCTGAGAAAGGAGTGGAAGACAGCTCAACTGCTTGAGCACCTGCTGCCATGGGGAGACCCGAGTGAAGTTCCAGGTGCCCAGCTTTGCTTGGTCCAGCCCTGGCCGTTGAGATCATTTGGGGAGTGCACCCGTGGATGGAAGATCTCACACTCTAACTACATTTCAAGTAAATAAATCTTTTCATAAAGGGCCATTTCATACGTATTCAATTCACATTTGCACAAATGTCAACTGCTCATGAAATATAGCTTATTCTCAAGAAAGGTAAAAGCAATTTAGGAAAAACCTAAGTGTAAAAGATGCGTGCATATGACTTGTAATTCTCCAAGTCTTATTAACCTAGGTCTTATTAACTAATGCAAATAGTAAGATTTTTTCACATGAGTAAGACTCAGTGGACTCTCCTTCCATTCATCTCACACATGGCAACTTCCAGAGGAGTCTGGGCACTGCAGGAAAGACCAGGGTAAATAATTATTTGCTCCATGTAGAAAATCCAGCAGATGAAAATCCATTAACCTTCGTGGTATAGTTCACTTGAATTTTAGACTTGAGGCTTTTTACTTGAGGCTATATTAAAACAAATTAAAACCATTAATCTTGAACTCTGTTCTAATAGAGAATTTCTAATCCCACTTCTGCCTAGTTAAGGAAATCCTGGGCTTCGAGGGCTATGCATTCATTGGCACTCAAAACATTTTCACGAACAAGGTGACAAAAAGATATTTTGCTGGCCTGTGCCCTGAGGAAGCAGTCACAGCCCTCCGGGAGTCAGGGCCGGGTGAGGTTTACCCAGGGGTCCCTGTCTTCCCCCACCAACTGCGTGCATGTGATTCTGAGCTCTCATCACTTTCTCTTTGGGGTGGTCCTGAGTAGTGGCCTTAAGGGGCTGCAGAGCTGAGTGCGTCTCATGCCCTGGAGGCCCAGGGCTGGGGGTACGGTGGCTGCAGACTGAAGGGCTGCCAGCTGGCCAAGGCTATCCACTAAGGCCAACCTGAAACCCAGACATGGGAAAAGAAAACATCGTGTTCCAGTGGAGGTGGGGAAGGCTGAGCGGTGGTCCCCCTTCCTGTTGGACTAAATGCCTTGCTTACTCTATATGGGCTGCCTGCCATGGACATCCGTAGCTGATGTACTATGATAACCCAGCTCGCCGCAAGGCCACCGAACAATCTGGACTCTGTGGTAAAAGCAGGTGGGAAGCCCAGATGGGCACAGGGGCTCTCCAGGCTGCCTGCCTGTCTGTGGGAGGTTCCTGGTATTTCAGAGACCATTTCTGGCCTGGCCTGGTGACTCCAGGCTCCCTTCCTGCAGAGGGGTGGTCTGCAGGGATGCAGCTGGAGAGCAGCGATGGCTCCCAGCCTGCCTGCCTCTCCCCTCCTCCCCGTTCCCCCATGAGCTGAGCTGGGAGCGAGCTCTCAGCAGCCGGGCACAGAGGGGCTAGTTTTAGACAAGTTCGCTTTAATCATACAGTTGCCACTTGCGAGTTAATATGATAAAGTGCAGGAGTGCTGCAGGAAAGGCAGTAAAACCCGGTGGGAACTCTTTCAGAGAGGAGAAAGCAATGGCTCCAGGCGGAAGGGGGAGGAAGGGATGACGCGCCTGCAGCACCTTGCCGGCCCGCTGCTGGAATGGTTGGAAATGGTGAGGCATTTCGAATTATTTTACTGCTGTATTAGCAAAGCTGGCAATATAATAGCAACTCAAAGTGACGGATTATCAACAGTACGACTATAAAGAAAAGACGAAAGGAAAGCCCTCGGATGTGTACTTGGTTTAAACTCAGTATTAATGGAATGAAGGGGAACGACAGGGCCAAGCCTGCGCGAGGGGGTGTGTGGGCGCTAGGCACCGCAGGGTGGATAGCGCCACCCCGAGCTGCACGCCTGCTCTCTGCTCAAGGCAGCCTAGGCCAAGGTGATTCCAGAAAGGTCACAGCAAAAACAAAGCATCTTGTGGTCCCACCTCTCCATGAGCTTTCTGAGATTTCCTCAAACACGGGGATTCCCCCCTACCACCTGCCCTTACACTGGCCAAGATCTGAGACATGGCAGGGAGGGACTGAAGGCGGGGGGGGGGGACTGACGCCAGCTAACCTGCCCAGCACCTGCAAGAAAATCACCAGCTGAAGGTCCAGAGCCACCCTAAGACCACACTGGGAGGACGGAGGGCCCCCCCACGCCCAATGCCCTGGGTCCCCTCATGTGAAATGCCAGGAACAGGGTTCCCTTGCCCTGCACTGGGAGCTGGGAGGGGAAGACGCACAGGCCTCCCAGACAGCGGCCCTTCTCTTCTCCTCAGCCTCTACTCGCTGGAAAGTGCTGGCCTAGAAAGGAGGCCAGACTCCAGAGGGCCTGCCCACTTTCCTTGCATTGGGCCTAACTCACGCTGCACTGTAGTCTCGGAGAAGTCCCCTCTGACACTAGGCGCTGATTTCTAAACGATGCAAATCCCCTTGCTGCTGACCCAGAGATGCAAAGAGGCCCTGGTCGGTGTGCTGTGCTCTGCTCCACTCGGTGCTGCTCACAGAACAGGACTGTGTGGTGAGCCACCTTCGATTCAAAAGAGACGGTGCAGTGTGCCATAGCTGCCCTCGATGGCTTTCCAGGCCTATGGGGCAACCTGCACTGAGCAGCCAGCCTGGGCGCTTGGGCACAGAGAGGGCCTGAGCTCGGCAGGCACCTGCTGGCTGGCTGCAGAGGCGCCTTGAATTGTCACCTGATGCTGTGCCATTGGCCTGGATCACTTACCCCCCACCCCCAGCCAGACAACTTCAGGGGACCCTCCCCCTTCTGACTTGCCACATTTGGAGGGTAAAACAGAAGAGAAAAGTTCCACACGACTGGAAAGGCCTGCGGGCGCTCACCCTGATGTTGTCCCGTGTCTCGGTGGTGGCCTGGAGCTTCCCGTTGACGCTGAACGTGCAGAAGAGGCCGCTCTCGTAGAATATCACGCAGTGACCCTCCCTTGAAGCCTGGATGAGCCTGGGTCTCAGGCAGTTGGCAGGAGCCTCCAAGGTCCTTAACAGGTCTCCATTCATGGAATGTATGAGACACGGGCCTTCTGGAAAAAAGAAGAGAAGCAAAAGTTGAGGTATTTGGTGAATGGGGCCGACACAACAGCACCGGCAAGCTAAGCCTGCACCTGTGGGACGTGCATCCCATAGGGGTGCTGGTTCCAGTCCCAGCCGCTCTGCTTCTGATCCAGCTCCAGCTAACAGAACGGCAAAACAGCAGAGAAGAGCCCAAGGCCTGGGACACCTGCACCCATGGGGGAGACTTAGAGCAAGCTCCTGGCTGCCAGCTTTGGACTGGCCCAGCTCTCACTGTTGTGGGCATCTGGGGGAATGAACCAGCCAAGGAAGAACTCTCTATCTCTCCCTTTTTGAAACTCTTTCAAGTCAAATTAAAAAATTCAAAAAAGAATACTTTCAGAAGCATAGACAAATATGTCTCACATAAGTCAGGTGGTCAGGGAACCACCCTACTACTCTGCCCGCTAGGTGACTCCTGGGCCCTGGCACCTCCTGCCTGCTCCCCCAGGCCTACCAAGAACACGCAGGAAAGAAAAGGCTCTCGGCCCCGAGGCCACTGTCCAACATCAACAGAGAGGCGGTCCTTGCTGTGCACGGTTCTCAGATGCCTCGACAGAAATAACATGACCCACCCGACACCAGTTCACATTTCAGTTATCACAGTGATTGCACAAGGACCATGTTTTGTGGCTAGCTCCTCTGTCCAACACTGTCAACGACACACACACACACACAACATGACGAGTGACTAACACATAACTTCTTTCAAATTCTGCTGGTCGGCGTCAGTTTTCCAGTTAATGCCCAGTGAGCAGTTGTAGTTAGGTCGCCTCCTCACCTCCCAGTGATCAAATGTCACATTTTGCAAAAATGTCTACAAATTTGCAAGGGTGTTGGACAACTGAGAGGAAACTTCAGCAAAGCAATAGAAGTAATGAAGCTGACATGGACTCTGGGAACTCGCATGGGGTCACTGGACACAGAGCTGCCTGGGGGCGCGGGGACAGGGCTAACACACGCTCGCCATGCAGTCAGCAGATGACGGAAGGGGAAATTGGGAAACCCGTCCAAAAATTAGGCCCGAGGGGGAAAGACAAGGGCAAAAGCCTGGCTTTTGAGGAACCTTGGTGCTTATTTCATAACGCTGAACGCACAAAATACTAGAACATGCTAGAATGTGCCATGGAGTGAAACAGCCCCCAGGGGATGGACAGGATACTCCCTGAGCGCACATGAGCAGTGATCCCTGGGCAAGCTTCTCACAAGGAAAGAAAACCCTCCAGTTCTCAATGCTTTAAATGCTAATATACCAAGAAGGTAAGTGTCTCATGATTTTTTTTTTTTTCATGTCCATAAGGCTTACGGCTATTTCAGTAAGTTCGTGAACAAGTGGAATTAAAGACAAGCTTATTTTGATACAAAAATGTTTAACTCCACCCATAGTTTTTTCTCATGATTTGCATTTTCACTGAACACCCAAGAGATCCCTCGTATACAAGGATTTCAGCATTTTTTGTATCAAATAACTTTTAATCGTTTTCCATGTACTTTTTAATATATCCTCATAGCCATAACTGAGTTACGAGAGTTTTTAATGTTTTTAGAAAAACATTGAAAAGTGACACGGATCATGGCGTTTCTCATTGATGATAGATCGTTTTGCATGACCACAGCCCGCACGGTCCCCTTTCCAGGCCCAGCGCTACCGAGCAGGGCAAGTGTGGCCATCACAGCCTCAGGGCCAGGCCTACTGTAGTCACAGACAGGCCAAGAGCTCATGTTAGCTGAGCATGTATGAGATCCCTGGATGTAAGAAGGAAAAAAACAAAAACCAGTAGTTACAGAATTCTTGCTATTATAATTATGTTACTGTTTTGACCGACTAAAATTGTAATTGCAACCGTTTCAATAGTTGATAGACCTTGTCGGCTAGACTAGTGACACAGATACAGTGACTCGTGTGTGTCATGTTTCCCTGCCGGGGGAGCCTTGGCGTCCTAAGGTGATGGCGCAGCTTTTCACGTGTTGAGATCTTGGTTCAGAGCAGAGCCAGGGAGAAGAGTACATGATGAGACTGGACTATGCCATGGGCTGAGATTTATTTTTTGTGGGGAGCCATGCAGTTGAGTCGGATGGCATGGGTCTGTGATGAGCACCGCTCCTTGGTCAGCAAGGCTGCGAGGAGTTTCTGGCTGTGTGGCAAGGCCTGGCAGAATGTCTCTGGTCACCTCATTGCTGCCTCACCCACTGTATGGAACTCAGTCACCTCTCTGATGTTTCATAGAATTCTCCTGAAGGTGGTGGTGTTGTTTTTCTGCTAATGTGAAGTGATTCCTGTAACTGGTGTAACACCTCAAAATGATCAGTCATGTTATGATAAAAACATCTTTAGCAACATAAGGCAATGACACACAGCTAAAAGCATACAATAGTACAATTTAGCCCACAATGTCTCCAAACATCCTGTTATGTGCCCACCTTTGTCCTGGAGCTTGCCCTAATATAAGTAATGTTTTCCTTAAGAAATGGCTTGATAATATCTTGGAACAGATGGCGATCATGGAGGTACAAAGAGTTTGTTTACCATGAGCCTCCAACTGTTACAACACATGATATGAAGCATTTTGGTTTCTCACCACAGAAAGCAGAAAGTATATGGGGCATCTTCTAAAGGGGAACAAATGTGAACCCCCCAAAAATGGCTTAAAATCTCAACCTTATATTGGCACTTATATTTAGGGAAAGAAAACAGTTTATAAAGAAAAAAGGAAGTTTCTCGGAAAGGCCCTCTGTAGATTGGCTGAGCTGCCTTGATCCCTTTCACTGCCCTTTAACAAAAGAACAAAAAACAATTAAATCAGCACTAGGTGAAGGTGACGGTAATTAATGCATGATCGATTATAAGATTTAATAAAGAATCTATGTTATATGCCATTATAAATTCCTTTCATTTATGATCTTTTAACTCTGTACTCTTGATATCTTAGGCAATATTAGCTAGTTAGTGTTTAGTAAAAAATTGATTTTGAATATAAGTAAATCACTTGTCACTATAACACTGCATGTGCTGCCAACCGTGGAGTTCCTGGCTTCAGCAGGTCACTGCAGCTTTGAATGAGTAACAGCTTGCTGAAAACATTTTATCCGAAGTAAAATAATAATAATGTTTCTTAGGGTTGATTTTATAATCATTGTTTTATAACGAAGCAGAAATGAAATAACTGCATGTTGCGCAAGAGCTTGTGATGATTTCTGTATAAATAAAGAAGGCAACTTTTCTGAGTTGTCCATTATGAGCATCATGCCATAGTGGTCCATGTCTTATCTCTTCTTCTAATCGTCTCACTGATCCACGCGTGCTTTGCAAAATCTCAAGTCATCCGGAGCTGGTCTCCGGCAATTTTTTCTTATTTTTATTGGAAAGTCAGATATACAGAGAGGAAAAGAGACAGAGAAGAATATCTTCCGTCTGTTAATTCACTCTGCAAGTGGCTATAATGGCCAGTGCTGAGCCAATTCGAAGCCAGGAGCCTGGAGCTTCTTCCAGGTCTCCCACACGGGTGCAGAGTTCCAAGTCTTTGGGCCGTCCTCAACTACTTTCCCAGGCCACAGGCAGGGAGCTGGATGGGAAGTAGGGCTGCTGGGATTAGAACCAGTGCCCATATGGGTCCCTGGTTCAAGACAAGGACTTTAGCCACTAGGCTATGGCACTAGGCCCTATGCCATGAATTGCAGACAGCTCTGTTTCCGATCAGAAGCTGATTTGTTGCTTGTGCTGCTGGAATGTTCCTTTAATACCCTTGGGCTGGGTACAGGATGCTGCAACCAGCACAAACCTCCAGGCAAACCGGCTCAAGTGAATTTCTATCCCATTTTCAATGCATTCTGGCCCCCACCTGGTCCTTGGATCGCCAAGTTACAACAGAGACAGGCACCAAATGGAACTTAGCCAAGTCACAACGGAGAAGGATAAGCAAATACACAAAGATGTTCCTTGATCCTAAGGAGAAAACCACCGGGCTGTGATTTCTGAAACAGAGCTTTCCACAGTGATGGAGAGGCTGTACAATACGGCTGCCCGTGGCCAGCTACGTGGCTAGTGTCACTAAATGTTATGTGACAACCTGGGAGAGCCCCACGTGGCTCATGGCAGCCGTAACAGACAGAAGCTGCAGAGAAGAGGGATCAGATTTGTCTTTAGCAGTCTGCAGCTAGAAGACATTCAGAAAGGCATCCACGTCACGCAGGTCCTGTGTGTTTACCTTGAGAACCGCTTAACACCAGGCCCAGCTCGGCGCACACGGCTGCACACGTGACCTCGCAGTCGTGGCCTGTCAAGATGGCCCGCGGGGCAGCGGTCTCACCTGCAGGGAAAAAAAGAAGGACAAATCTTAAAGAACCGCTGAGTTGTTGCCAGTGCCCATCATGCCTCAATTTTTCATTTACTGCCTGAGAATTCTATTGAACAAGACTCCTGTTGTGGGAGCAGGCATTTGAGACGGTGATGAAGACGCCATCTGGGCCCCCCGAGCAGACTGCCAGGGTCCTGGCCCAGCCCCCCGTTCCAGCTGTCCAGGAAACCACCCCCAGAGACAGGAGGGCATGGCTCTGGTCACATGGTTCCTTCCACCTGCACCAGGGTCCCAGTGGGGTTTTGTCTCTTGGCTCTGACCTAGCCCAGCCATGGTAATTTTGGGGATCTGGGAAGTGAACCAGAGGATGTTTCTCCTCTTTCAAGTAAATACAATACTTTACAAAATCTTACTTAGGTCAAGGTCCAAATTACATGCTTGTATTTTGAGTCTGAGCTTTACACGTTGCTAAATTTCTAGTCATCCCTACATGATTAGCAAGCCACAGTGGCTGACAGTCCAGGCTTGCCTAGGACAAGATCTGCATTCCAAAATGCTTCAAATGATTTCCAAGTGGAAGACCTGATGAGCTGATCGATGGATGGATGGACGATGACAAAGGAGGGGACTTGTGCCTCATCTGCATTTCAAAGAAATGCACTTTCAGCCAGTGTGGAGGGAGAGAGCCACTGAAACCAGGGGAGCACAGGGCATCTCAACGGAGCCCTTTCCTAAATACCCATTGTTTTCTACTAAATTGACATATTTTACCAATACATAAGTTTCAGAGTCTATTTCTCACTGATTCACTTAAAGAACCCAGGAAAACACTAAATCCTTTCATGTAAATCTACTGATAGTGAATGGGTATCAGGGCAAAAGACCAGAATAAGGGGTGCAGGTTGCGAGATCCTGGGGGACGTTTCAAAGCATTTCAAGTTGTCACCCGTGTCTGTTTGCAAACTAAACAGAAAACTGTTACTGGGAGTCGGCATGGTGGCAATGCAAGCTAATCCTCCACTTGTGACGCCATCATCCCATATGGGCACTGGTTTCAGTCCCAGCTGCTCTACTTCTGATCAGCTCCCTGCTGGCGCGCCTAGGAAAGCAGTGGAGGATGGTCCAAGTCCTTGGGAACCTGCAGAAGAAGCTCCTAGCTCCTGACATCAGATGGGCTCAGCTCTGGTCATTGCGGCCATTTGAGAGTGAACAGTGGATGGAAAATCTCTATGCCTCTCCTCTACCCGCCACACCCATCTGTAACTCTGCCTTTCAAGTAAAAATAAATAAATCTTTTTGAAAAAATAAAAGACTACATTAGAGAACCTAAAAGAAATGTGGCCGGCTGATTGGGAACCTATATCGTGAATGGTGCTGCAGGGTTAACAGAAAGAGCAATGAGCCTGCTTTGTGCCAGGCCACAGGCTAGACTAGACCGAAGACCGCACTAGTCCTCCACCTCTCTGGTGTCTAAGGATAAGATACAAAATACTCAAGACCAGCGTGTTGGCTCAACTAGCTAATCCTCTGCTCCAAGTGCTAGTATCCCATACGTGTGCCAGTTCATGTCCCAGCTAGCTCCCTCCTAAAAAACCACCCAACGATGACCCAGTGCCTTGGAACCTGCACCCACGTTGGGGACCTGGAAGAGACTCCTGGCTCCTGGTTGCAGATACACTCAACTCCAGCCATTGTGGCCATTTGCAGAGTGAACCAGCGGATGGAAGATCTTTGTCTCTCCTTCTCTCTGTAAGTTGGTTGGTAATTAGCACTGTGTAATTGAAAGGACCAGCTGTGCCCACACAGCGGTCCCCGGTGCCAGCAGGTCAGTAGCACCTTGGCAAAGAGGAACTGCCTCTCCTACCTCCGGACATGTGGCTGGGCCTGGGAAGGTCAGGGAAGGTCCAGGAATCCACTGGAAACCTCCTGTCCTTGGAAGGCAATATTGCTATTGGACAGATTAATTTAGCCTCCAAAGCTGTGTTCCTCCAGTGGGTTGGTGCACTCTCTGAAATTCCATTTAGAATGTGTGCACATGCTCTTTTTTCCAAATGGCAGTGCACCAAAACAGGGTTTGGTGACTGCACAGAGGATCCAGGATCAAATAAAGCCGAGCAGCCTCCACTCTGAAGGCAGCAGGCCCGTCCCATTCCTCCTGGAGCCCGTGGTTACTACGGGTGCACCAGCACTGAGAAGTTCGGCGCAGCCTTGAAGAACTATGTCTCCCCGGGACTCCTGGGACCCAGGGGCTTCGGAAAGAGACTTCGTGCAGGGACCTCCCTGGAACCTTGCACCACACTGGCACGCCAGCAGAGGGAGCCATTCCGCATACTTCAAGGCGTAACAGCAAGGGGGATTAAGTGGAACAATTGGCTTGAGTTTGATGGCAAGCTTTAATAAACTTATTTGGAGAAGCAAATCCAAGTTAATTAGAAAGTTTTCTTGACATTTATCACAAGATCACAAGAACAATTTTTTTTTTTTTGCTTTAAAGGTCCACAAATTTTGGAAATGCTACAAGATACAAATAATGTAAGCCAATCTGAATTACTTAACTTTCTGTTAAAGACAATTCTTACCATAAAATTTGGATGTAAACAGGCTCTATTTTTAAAAGTAAGCAGTTGCTCCAGCCCTGAAGCGGGGCTGCCCCCTTGCCCAAGAAAGCCTACATTCCACAGAAATACCACACAATGTTATTTTTGAAATTACTGTCTAATTATAGCTATCTTTAGGGAACTTTTTAAAACTCAACAATTAAAATCATTACTATCTAAGAAGTACATTTTGCTTTGTTTTCATAAGTTCCTGTTTCACGGAGGGGGGGAGGGGCTGGATTTCACTTTTAACCACATTTGCCTTGAAATTCCTCAGTGACGCGAGGGGTTGTAGGAAAACCGGGGAACAAACGAAAGCCACGGATGCTTAAGCCAATGTCAACGCCGGGCAGATGGGCAGCGGAGGCCCGCGCACAGGGACGTAAGGCACTCTTCTTCCCCAGCCTTAAGAATATTTTCTTGGGAACATGGTGTGCAAGAAGAGGGAGGGTGGCTGTCACGTGCATTTCTTTCCTGGGTGTCAGAGCCGAGAGCTTTGTCCGACTGCACAGTTTTAGCAAGCCTGTGATTAACCCCAGAAGCCGGGCTCCAAGCCGTTCTTAGCCATGTCTATTGTTAAAACAAAATGATGCACGGATTTCAAGACATTTTGGCACCGCAGGACACTTATCTTTTAGTTCTATTTTTTCCCGGAAATGACTGAAGTGTCCTCACAAGTATAACCACTCCCTGTGTGTCGCAAACTTTTAAGGTGGTTCTAAGTAAGCCTTCTTATGAAACTTAGTTTCCAGGAACCCAAACTCTACATTTGTTGCATTCCAAAACTGAAAAGATGCCCGCAGGCTAACAGGGTCATTTCAAAATTGGAGAAAAAAAAGGGGGGGGGGGGCGGTTTCTTTTCCTAGGACTTGATGTCTATGTAAGGAAGTGTTTCATGCCGAGACCCCGTGGTTTGGCAAACTGTTTCCTAATCCAGGAAACAGGTTAGACAGTTCAGGAAATACAGAAAGAAGAGGGGAGGGGAGAGGAGGGAAACAACAAATTAAAAGCATAAGGGTAGAGAGTTGAGGACCATTTGCTCCTTTTCAGGTAACTGCTTTCCCACTCCTCAGCGGATTTCCGGTCCCAGCACTGAGCTACCGGAAGTGGAACAGTGCAAGAGGAAATAGCATCTCCTTGAGAAGAGCTGCTGCCCGTCCTGCTCCAGGCCTGGATCTGGTGCTCTGGTTATTATCTGCACGGGTCAGGCCTCCCTTCCCTTTGCTCCTCGGCCCAGAGCATGTTCCGTATAAACGCCTGCTCCTGAGCTTCAGTAAGCCGCGGGGCTTTGCATAATTGTGTCCACTGTGGCCAAGGCAATCCCAGGACACGGGGCTGTCAGCAGACAGGTGGAGGCCGCTTAGGTCCAGTGGACATTCTGGGAAGCCCTTGGGATGGGCGTCCTCCGCGCAGAGGCTGGACAGATGCAGGGCACAGACCTTCCACGCGGTGCGCAGGGCCCGGCTGTAGTTCTCTTGGGTCACACTGTCACACAGCAAGGGGGCTCACCCGGAGACCATGTGCCACCTGGGGCGGGGGGGGGGGGGGAGGTGGAATCAGGACCCTCCCCCGTTTATAGTGTGCATGCTTCTGGTCAGATAGACAACAAACCCTCCTGCTGCACCACGTGCCCCCCAGGCCCTTCCCTCCTCCTTGTTAGCCTGGGGGAACCCAGCCCCGGCCCCAGGAAGGTGATTCTTGGGGCCCCTCACTGCAGTCTCCCAGCCAGTGAAGTGCAAGGAGAGCATATTTTGCACCATTATCAGGTTATTCCTTTTAAGAAAAGGGTGCAACCATGGGGGTAACGATACACGAGGTCTTCACCTTGGCTTTGTGCACGGAGGAGCTTCGCAAAGGGTCGGGGACAAAGCACGCAGATTCCCTTCAGCAACCTTTCAAAGTGTCCCTGCTTGAAAAACCGCCGAGGCTTTCAATAGTGCTGGGAGAAAGCTCTCATCTCGCTGCTGGTTTGAGGGGCTACACTTCAAACTCTTCTTGAAGGAAGAAAAAAAAAAAAAGAAGAAGAAGGTAGCAGACGACAGACTGCTCAGGACTGCTTTGAAAAGCCTGCGCAGTTACATCAAAGGAGGGGTTGGCTTTGTGCAGGTTTAGGACCACTGATGCAAATCCCCCCGGAGGCTGAAAGGGGTCCTCACAGAGCACCGTGCCGGCGGCCTTCAGCGGAGAGGACCAAGCCAAATGAGATTAGGGGCAGTGCAGACCGGGCCACGACACCGGGCCACGCTGGTCTGCACCGGGGACGCGCTCTGCTCGCCTGTAACTTGCAACCACCCGACTTGCACTGACAGAGCAGGCAGTCCTTTTTAATCTAGTTAGTACTGAAAATGGGTCTGGGTTTGAAAGACTAGGTGAAATGTTTTCATACCAGTGGGCAGCACGACCGATGTTTTTATG